CTTTAGATTTTTAACTCGATGGCCGAGTGGTGGCAATTGCGACTACCGGGCAAGGGGTCTCGGGTTCGATTCCCGGCTCGGGCAATGTATTACTGGGTTTTTTTTTTAATCTCAGTAGTAGCACAGAGTCTGGAAATGTACGCGATATATGGCAATAGGCTCACCCCCTATTACATAGTACTCATAACATAAATAGTGAAAAGTGGGTGTTACATTGTACAGTGGCATTAAGTGCCGTAACGAGCACCTCTGCCTACCCCTTCGGGGATAAAAGGCGTGATGTTATGTTATGTTATTTTTAACTTTAAATCGTTTAGTTATAAAGTCTAAAATCGAAATTAACATATTGGTGTAGGTTGATGTGCTACCACTGTACATAAAATAGGTAAATGACTAAATAATGCAATGTCATTGAGAACGACAGGTCATTGCACTACATGTTTTAATAAATATTCAAGTAAAATATTCAATTTCTGGTTTCGTTTGCAAAAAAACTCCATCGATGACCTTGGGTGTTTCTCAGGTCATATTTTATAACTTCAGGTAACTAAAGTTTGAATAAATTGTCTTATTTTTATTTAGGTTCAGATTAAGGGTATGTCGTCCAAAAATAATTTAGACCCTTTTAAACCGACTTCAAAAAAGGAGGTTTTAAGTGGTTATTACTTAATCACCTACTTCCACGCGGTTTCACCCACTCTGCTCGGCTCCTATTTGTCGTAGCGTGATGTTTTTTAACCTATAGCCTTCCTCGATAAATGCACAATCCAACACAAAAAGAGTTATTGAAATCTGACCATTAGTTCCGGAGATTGGCGCGTTCAAACTTCAAACAAACAAACAAACGAACATACAAACATACTCTTCATATTTATATAATAGTATAAGATATAAAACAAGAGTATAAGATTAGATATAGTATAAGACCATTTTATATGTAATTATTTGTACTATGTTTAAAATATTTAAATAGTACCTAGTTCCAACTCTTCCTAAAATTGTGAGTGATTGTAAAGGTATAGTGGTATTACCTTATTTTTAGAATATTTCAAACTCATACCATTTAATATTATGTGGTTTGTCGTACATGTACCTAATAAGGAAGGTAAATAACTTGTATCATTCAAATTAGCTATGTTAACTGCTCTCATTACGTAACAAATTTTCAATATATTATTGTTGCTGTAGTAACAAGTTGTTGACGGAAAGAATCCAAAGGTACTCGAACATTTTAAATGTGTCGTCTGTTTGCTACATCTTTTTATTATAATAAGGAAAATATACAGACATAGCTAATAGGACATTCAACAAATCTTATTATGATGGAAAAAGAATAGCCCTGAATAAAAACATCGTATCTGACTACGAAGACGTCCATGGCTAAACATTTACCTGTATCAATGACTTCCAAATTACTTATATAATTGTAATACAAATCCATCCAATATTTCCATAGTTCTACTTACTCAATTAAATAAAAATCGCGGGATACTCGTGTGAAATATACTGAGAAAAGCTATCAGCATGCTGTACGCTGCGCGACTTCGCCGCGACCGCGTCTGTACATGAGGAAGAACCCCTCTGTAGTTCGCAACTAGTAGAGCTTTTCTCAGTTTATTCATGTGAGTAACCCGCGATTTCTGAAACAAATGTTTTATTATGAATGGTAACGTATTTCATTTATTTATTTTTAACTTCTTTACACAAACGGACTTAATGTCGTCAGGCATTCTCAGACAGTCAACCATAGGGAAGTGCAGACAAATTAAGCGGTTGATGCGAACCCAGAACACAATTTTAAAACATAAAGAATGTAGTTAATTGTATGTATGTGGACGTATGTCGTATAAAAGGTAATTTAGTTACCTTTAAAATGGTCTCATTTTGTTGTAAAATTAATATTTTATTAAAGTAGGTAATAGGGGTTCTATAAAATTAAAAAATACAACGTTTGTGCCTCCGTTTCTTTGCTTCAAATGTATAAGTAAATACATAATTTGCGTGTGACATAGTATATAACCTTCACACGGGTATTCCTCGTGAATCCACAAAGCGTGAAGTATTTATAGTGCCATTATTGCTTTTTTAACACCTGTTATTTGTACTTTTTGCAAAATCTTCCACAATTTACTTTATTTTAATGTGTTTTTGCTTGCTTGCTTTAGGCTTCTCAGATAATATTCATAAAGATGCGACTATGACTAAGATCATCTTTAGATTAACATGACCTTCGGCTTTTAATAATAGTCGGCATTGATAGCACCTACGGCTAATGAGCTGAAAGTATTAAATTATCAACAACTACGTACTTCCTCGCGGTTACACCCGCTCTGCTCGGCGCCTATTGATCTTAGCGTGATGTTCTATAGCCTATAGTCTTCCTCGATAAATGGACTATCCAACACAAAAAGAACTATTCAAATCAGTCCAGTAGTTCCTGAGATTAGCGTAAAGAAACAAACTCTTCAGCTTTATATAATAGTATAAGAAGTATAAGATTAAGATTAATATTATGCTAATTAGAGGTGACCTTATAAAGACAATAAAGATAATAAATTCCTTATTTACATGTCGATAAGGTACAATTTTCATCAATACTTTTACTTTGACATCGATAACTTACTATGATACTACTGCAAAATGAGCCAAACTCAAACAAAAATAAGAATTAGTATGTCAAAAGCTTTGCATTGTTGGTTGAGGTATTTTCAAAGTGCGAATATAAACTAAAGGGCACTAGTTTGGATATGCATAAAACCAATGTGAATTTTCCCAAACTTGTGTTTCATAGTCTACCATGCTGCCTGCAGTATTACGGATTTTTGTACAGTTTAACGAATAGACAGTGTGGAAACTTAAGCTTATAATTTCTAATCATAAGTTTGAAATTGCCAACCCGCATTGAGCAAGCGTGGCGATTATTGCTTATACCTTCTCTGTGTGAGAAGAGTCCTTTGGTCACTAGTGGCCACTTATATGTTGTGTTGATTAGTTAATTTATCACGTGTTATTGCAAACATTAAACTGTTATTACCCCTCTATAGTTCGGAGCCGCGGACGACTTAACGGGTTGTCGGGGCTCCGGCTCGAAAGGCAGGAGTAGGAACGGGGTGGTTTTTAGTCAGTAAGAGTCTGACACTCCCTCTCGCTTCACCCAGGCGGGAGCAGTCATTCGATGATTTTCCCCCTTAAAAAACCCCTATATAGTTACATCTAGAATGTATAAAATCGCTTCATTTAATAAATCGAGTATTACACTGAACAACGTCTAACAAGTGTTAAAGTTGTCGCATGTCATCGCCAATTGCGCTGATTAATTTGTAGACTTTGTCTCATGGACATTCCTAGCAGAATTTCCCTTTAAAACAGACACTGGGATTTAATTTTTAAACAAGAAATATGTAGCTATTTATATAGCTAGCTTCTCCCAGCACCTTCGCCTGCCAAGGTTACAGGAATGTAAACTATTCTATGTGACAATGTGTTATTCTAGACTTATTATAGTCTGTCTTTATGCCAATTAATTCAGTAGTTTTTACTTTACGTAGAGAGTAAGAAAATCATAGTTTATGGTGAATTGCGAAACACTAGAGTGTTAATGTTACAAGTGCGTTGTCGGCCTTTTGAGGATTTTGGGGATTGGAGATACTAGAAAGGGGGTAATTGGGCCTCCAGTAACCTCACTCACGCGACGAAACACAACGCTCTGGTTGATTCACACCGGTTTTCTGTGAGGCCGGTGGTATTGGTATCACTCCGGTCGAGCTGGCCCATTCGTGCCGAAACATGATTCTCCCGCATTTGGAACATCAGTATGCCATTTATCAGTGATGGTGATTAGACTAGATGTATAAATGTAATGGTCGTTAATATCTTGAATGTAAGGGTCGTTATGGCTCGTGCTTCGTTATTTCTGTCCATCCATATGGAATATATCTTTCCATACATGACATGTGTAGGTTTTTAGACAAAGACTTGTCGCGATAAATTATACTACAGCAGATTAAGCTAAGCTATTAACGTATTAAAACCTAGATTGCACTAGATAAGGCTTAACAGCTTAATTCAATTAGTCATCTTGTTAATTCATATTATGTTTCTTAATATCAGTTACATTCGTCTGGTCTAGAGTCTAGATTAGGGAAACGAATAAAGGGGATAGGTTTTGTTTTGTTTTTTATTGTTTAAATGTTCACCTGTCTCCTATTGGAGTAGTGCAGAAAACAGAAAGACAAATAGCACGATTCTATCCATACTCGTCTACTATGCTTGTATTTTAGTCAATGATGCTCGCAATGATGCAGTCTAAAATGCTCGGTTTTGTTCCGATATCGTTTGCATTTCGGTCGAGTATAGCTTACAAGTAGTAATGAGAGTAACATTGTCTACAAAATTTTTGGCGTTCAGACACATTTCGCTACCAGAAAACTTCTTGACGAAAATATTAGCCTTGTGAGAACCCGGCATTACGACTTATTTCTTTGAAAGGAGCCTTTACCTAGGTTGGACAATGTATAATTTTTGTTTTTTGTTTTTGTATTTCCGATTTCTTGTAAAAGCAACGGTAAATATCAATAAACTCTATCATGTTAAAAATCTATTGACACGCTAGCATCTATACTTATGTCCTTGCGGGCCTGCGGACGGCGAGCATGGGTGGCTCCCCGTCCGACCAGAAACAGACCCGAGCGTACGGCGCGTCGCGTTCCGCGCGCGCCTCAAAGAGCCATCAGACCACCACAGATGGGGCCCAATAGGGCCGATGCCGATTCGGAGTCGCGGAGAACCTAACGGGTAACCGGGGCTCCGGCTCGACGTGCAGGAGAAGGAACGGGGTGGTTTTTAGTCAGTAAGAGTCTGACATTCCCTCCCGCCTCACCCAGGCGGGAGCAGTCATTCGATGATTTTCCCCCCTTAAAAAAAAAAACAAAAAAATAAAAGAAAAAATATACTTATGTCCTTATTTGTGTCTCCGTCTAAATCTCATGTCGTATTTCCAGAAGGCAGTAGATGGAAGGACTGGCTCCTCGCGTCTTTGCTGCTCGGTGCGGTGGTCGGTGGCTGGGCGGCACTGCGCGCTGGTCGCGCGAGCCGTCACCAAGTTCAGCGCATGCTCCGAGACATGGAACAGCTCCGCAAGGCCGAGATGGCCCTGAATGATATGCAGAAGGAACTGGAGAAAGCTCGTCTGGAACAGGTTAGTTTTATAGTTTAGTTTTAAATATATATATAGTAAAATTACAATGGCAGCAGAGTAAAATACATTTTTCTTCCAAAACCTTATGCGTATATCAGGGAAGTAGTTAGCGCCGTATCTGCCGTATTAATTATACCGGGCCCCCACACGTCGAAGGTCCCCAAAGTGCGTTAACAAAAAATAATAAAAGCTGCCCAATTTGTATTTTATTTTAGTAATCACAAGAGTCAAAAAATATTATTTTACCGCGGAAAGCATGCGTTCTGATATTGATAGAAACTTTAGAAAAACTATATAATGATCTAATGAATGAAAACTATATAATGATCTGTATTATTCTATGTTACCAACTAAGTAAAACATTGTGGAACGCAATGAAGAATTTGAATTTAAAGTAATCATAGTTCGATAATTGGGCAGAGGGATTTAATGAAAACTTTTCCAATTTACACGCAAATTATTAGTATTTCATCAAATTTTTTTCCCTTGTGAAAATCTTTACCCTTCAAGGGTCCCCAAACAAATTTTTATACGGGGCCCAGACAAGACAGGCTAGGCCACTGGCGTATAATAACAAACAAACCAAAAAATAAGTCAAACTGACGCAGGAGTTATGCTCGCACGAACATTTCCGGTCCCTCAGGTACCTGAAATGGAAAGTAAATTCTATAAATAAATAATGAATCAACTAGCTATTGCCCGTGACTTCGTCCGCGTAGAATATGATACCTGTTTTATCCCATCCTATCACCTATATCAACCCATACGCTGCCTGTACACCAAATTTTATCAAAATCCGTTAAGTAGTTTCAGCGTGATTGATGAACAAACAATCGAACAAAGAAACTTTGACATCTATATATATAATATTAGATTACATAGATAGTTTAAAAAAATAAAATAGAAAGACGAACTTCCTCATGTCGAGGGTCCATAGTCCAGTAGCAGTGTCGTCAATGCGTGATAATAAAAAGTAATTCAGTCGCTTGCTTAGTTACCTCTAGAGGTAAGTAGTCGTATTAGTTTAAGTAGTATTAAAGGAAATAGAAGTCCGAATTGTTCAGTCACGTATTCACAATCTGAATCATCTTGAGGAAAATGTTGTGATATTAACTAAATTTGACTATGTAAATATTTAAGCACAATCAAATGAATTAAAACAGCAAAAAAAAATAGACAATGTACTAATAGGTAATTATATTTTGAAAAAGTACTTAATTAATTGTCAATTTCTTAAAAAAAATTATTATTAAAAAAACAAAATACCCGACTGCACACTAAAAAAAGAGTAAAACAAGCCCCACAATAATATTGATCAATCAAATGCTAAAAACTAATTATGTAATACCGTTTAAACAATACCTATATTAAAATACACTACAATATGTGTTCGTAATCGATAGTTAAATAAACAGAAACTTATTTTGAATACAAATTTACTGAATATAATTTATAAATGTTGATGGAAAGCATCGCAGGCGGGGACCACCTTGACCGCCACCAACGAAAATTCTGCTAAATGGTGCACAACCGAAATGACTATAAATAAGCCTCTGTTGGTCCCCGCCTGCGATGCATTCCATCAACATTTATAAATTATATTCAGTAAATTTGTATTCAAAATAAGTTTCTGTTTATTTAACTATCGATTACGAACACATATTGTAGTGTATTTTAATATAGGTATTGTTTAAACGGTATTACATAATTAGTTTTTAGCATTTGATTGATCAATATTATTGTGGGGCTTGTTTTACTCTTTTTTTAGTGTGCAGTCGGGTATTTTGTTTTTTTAATAATAATTTTTTTATTTATAACTTTTTAGCTGTTTTTATTTCGATATATACAAATAGGGATATATCGAATAAAATCGCTATTTAGAGACGACCGTCAACGACGTGTGCCCTCATGCGTGTGCCCGCAATCGGGCTGTATACTCGAGCATATCCCCCTCCGCACCGCGCCGCGCGCCGCATGCCAGGCCACGCCCTATCTTTTTGCTTGCTAACGCATGAGTTGCTTTGCGTTGACGCAGAATTAACATGTTCCCGTGGGAATTTTGAGAAAAAACGTATCCTATATTAATTACTCCCGTGATTGAAATGAATCTAATGATACCGCATACATATTTTTTTAAAGGGAAATTTAGAAAAAATATTATTATGTCTTTATCCCGTGGGACTTTTAGGATAAAATGTATCCTATGACACTCCCGTAATCAAGACAAATCTAACGATACCTCATACATCAAAATCCATTTAGCCGTTTAGGCTACAGGTGGTCACAAAGGAAAAGACATACATACATACTTACATACACTCGAAAAACATTACCCTCCTTCTTTGGCAGTCGGGTAAAAATGTGTTGGTTGTCGGTAGATAGGAATATGGGACACGCGAACTACACCTCTGTACCACTATTTGTCATCTTAATTGATGAAAAGTTGCTTCTGTAGATACCTACTTAAACTTATGTACTTCTACTTCTGTAGATCCCATCAATTATGAGATGTGAGCTCATTTGGTACAATTCAATAAATAAACCCTGAGGGTATAAAACAACAGATTTGAAGTAAATAGTAAAAAAGTAAGCTAATAATAATTTGTAGTTAAAAACGATAAGAAATGTTTTATTACTATTATAGGTACTCTTGTCCATTTTGGACATGCATTAAGTAGTATAAAAACACTTCAATTGCAAAATTTCCATATAAATAACGTGTGAAAACTGTAGTTAGAGGTCAGAAAAATAGCTAAAGGATACTCTACATGACACAGATTCCCTCCAAATGTTTTTCCAATTACTCCAGAACAAATCCAAGACAGGCCATTAGTAAATAATGAATAAACTTACGTCTAAAATAAGATACCTAATTGTTTATTTTTGTAACAACAAATCTTATACTATTATATAAAGTGGAAGAGTTTGCTTTTTTGTTTGAACGCGCTAATCTCCGTAACTACAAGTCTGATTTGAGTAATTCTTTTTGTGTTGGATAGCGCATTTATCGAGGATGGCTATAGGCTATAAAACATCATGCTACGACCAATAGGCATGCTACGACCAATAGGAGCTGAGCAGAACGTGTGAAACACAATATATTACCGTGTTCAAATCAGACAGAGACAGTCAGGGCGCCATGTTGCGTTAAGTGTAACAAAATGGCGGCGTTTCTCATATCATACAGCTATTTTAAACAGAGGCTGCATTCTATATCGTCACGTATGCCTTGTATGCGCGAATCAAATAATGTATTCGCACGGTGAACGAGTTTTTAAAGTTGACCTACAGCATCGAACTTTGGTAAAGTACAGACAAAAGAAACATTAGACAATTTGATATGAATTTGAAGCTACTTTTGTCATTTCCAATTTATGACAATATAAAAAATATGTGTTACGGGTCCATAAATAGACGTATCCAATTCGAATTTTCTGGGTTCTGTTCTTTATTGCCACAAAAGAAAATAGTAATCGTCCGAAGCCGAGATGGGTTTATTTTGATACATTTTTCGTTTTTTTTGTTAGCTAAAACAATGCTTTCTTATTGCAGGAAAATGTGACGACGGAAAAAAAGAATTTGGAGAAAAAGCTTAGAGAAGCGGGCGATACACCACTTCTGAACTCGGCGTCATCTGACCTTGAAGTAACTCAATTGAAGGCTGAGATCGAGGTAAAGAATTTATAACTTAATAAGATTTAAGTTCACAGCAGGTTCTCAGCTATTTAACTTGGAGCAGCCAATCAGCGCGCAGAACCTCATAAAAGCGCCTATCGCGTTAACGTACAACAAATTCGCACTAGACACGGAAGGTAAGGGAGATGTTCAATGCTGAACAATGATTTGGAGCCCGTTTGGAGACTGAGGTCGCAGTATTTAGTAATGTAGACATAACCCAAATACTGATGCGATGAACTATTTTTAAAACCGGGGGGGGGGATATACATTCTAGACTTTGGGATACGTAATACCCGAAAATTCTTTGCCCATTTGAGTAATCATCAACCACGTGGGCGAATTCACGACCAATCCATTCAGTAGATTTATTCATTGTCATCATCAGCCAGTATTCGTCCACTGCTGGACGTAGGCCTCTCCAATGGTACGCCACTGAGCTCGGTCTTCAGGTCTTCTCATCTAACCACTGCCAGCCACCTTGCGGATGTCGTCACTCCACCTAGCTGGAGGGCGCCCTACACTGCGCTTGCCTAGACGCGGTCTCCACTCTAGAACACGATTACCCCAACGGTTATCTGTTGGGATCTGGAGGCGAAGATGCTCGCGCGCGTGTACAGCATGCGCGCGGAGGCACGTCGCCGGGGCGAAACTCCGCTGCCGCGCCAGATAAGTGCGTGGCGGGATGAGCTCCGGCGCGATCTCATGGCGGAATGGCAGCAACGACTGTCGCAACCGAGGGCTGGGCTCGCTGCCATCGCAGCGGTAAGTCCTCTCTTTGAGGAGTGGCTTGAGAGACGCTACGGCGTCCTCACCTACCGCCTGACGCAGGTCCTCACCGGACATGGCAATTTCGGGAGGTACCTGTGTCTGATGGGGCGGGAGGAAACGCCCGGGTGTCATCACTGCGAGGACCGCCCTGAGGACACGGTGGAACACACTGTAGCGGAATGCCCTGCGTGGGCTGAGCACCGCCGTGTCCTCAGGGAAGTGATCGGCGATGGCGACCTCTCGCGTCCGGGCCTAGTGCAGGCCATGATGCGGAGCGAGGGGGATTGGGATGCCGTCTCCTCCTTTTGCGAAGCAGTCATGCTAGCTAAGGAGGAGGCGAGACGCGTGAGGCAGCGAAGCGCTGCCTCCTCGCAACCCAGCCATCGCGAAGATTATCCCCCCTTAACAAAAAAATAAAAAAAAATAACGGTTATCGGTTCCTCGACAAATGTGACCGGCTCACTGCCACTTCAGCTTACTGATCCTTTAGATTTGTTCAAATTAAAACAAATTACGCACTTTTAACCCTGAGAATTAAACCTAAATGTATCCGTGAATCTATTTAAGTACTAGGAAAAAAGCGAGGTGCTCTTTCCACATACTTTTAAAAAAAATTGGAATATCTTGTACATCGAGTAATCACGAGCTCAATTGCCAAACAAATAAATTCGCAGGTGGAGAAACATATTATAAAAGTTAAATGTCAAAAACGATTCCTTTTACTTCGTGACGTACCTAATAATAATTTAATGTCAATCTTTTCCTCATAAATTGCCTAGCAAATGAGAAAAGCTAAGTAAAATCAATAGGATTGTGTGCTATAACACTAATGATATTTTAATATAATTTGACCAGTTCATTTTTGACTGAAACGACACCTAAATTGTCAGGAATAGGTAATACGGAGCCAAGAACGATAGTGCTCGGTGAATGAATAATGCTAGCCCCTCTTTGTAACACGAATTTAATCTTAATACACATCTTTGTGTAATTATTCAAAGAATAAAAGGCTTGATCTGTGTTATAGTTATGAAAAAGCAAGAATTTTACCTTAAAAGTTACCTCAAAAATTTCGTGTCGACGTAAGTTATTGAAGGTCGAATCACAATAAAACGAATCGTGGCAAATTTGAGACAATAATTTTCCTTTTAATGTGCGCTTAAACATTTTTAAGATTCGGATTAAAAGTAAGAAGTATGAAAGAAGTACCAAATGAAATATTTCATCCTGAAGTGAATCCTAATTGGTCTAACTAAAGTTAAAAGAAATAACGTAATTTTTAACTGACACTTTCTTTAAACTTAAAACATGGCGGGTAAGAATCTAGACGTGAAAACTGAATATATAGTTAAGTATTTTTAAACGTTTACCTCAGTGAGTGCACTTCTTTCCAAAAGGCCGGCAATGCAGTTGAAATTCCTCGGGTATTGGCGAGTTGTAGGAGACCATCGAGCCATTCGTCCTACAAAAAAGAGAAAGGTTGAAGAACACACATTAATAGGCAAATCTCCCTTAAAATATTAATTGAAATTGGATTATCTCTATTGCAAGATTACTGTATAGCAAATTGCTACACATTTTTCACAAAAATCAATTAAATTAAATCACTCCAACTGTGCACGCGCGCAGCTCGCGAATTTTGATTAAAATAAACCGGATTCCTATATAGCGAGGCTTTTTATAGGTTCTTGTACGGAGAATACACCGACTCGGTGTGTTCCCACGGCCACAGAGTGCGTGACGTAAATGAACAAATATATTTGCGGAATATTTGATCGAAGTCACAGAAATCACAAAATCTATATATATATAAAAGAAAGTCGTGTTAGATGCTAAATCTCGATTTGGATGGAAATTGACGGGGAGGTAGATTAGAACCAGGAGACGGACATAGGATCCAATATTTTTTTTTACTTATTACCGAAAATCACGAACGGGAACGGAAAAAACGGGATTGCGCGTACGAATTTGCGGGCTGAAGCTAGTGATGAATAATTTCTGTGCAGTTGTAGCATACTGAAAGGGTATTAACTAAAGAACTTTATAAAATAAAAGTAAGATCAAAGTAGATTGTAGTTTATTTGATAATTAATTTAGAAGTTGAAAATTTCGTGTGTTACATGTGAATGAAATATTAAACTTTGGAAGCTTGTAAGACATTTTTGAAACCATTTGTACCAAACAAAGATGTGTTTAGATTAAGTAGACTTAACAAAAATAATTTTGTACCCTAGACCTACAAACAATCAGAGTCGCGGAGAACGGGCTTCACCATCCAAAAAATTTAGGATGAATTATTTATGGGTAGAAGGTAGCTAAGCCCAAAAATCCCTGAAAAAATTGTTTCTGTCCATACGCCAACCAATCTGTATAATCTAAATGTTTATTGTATTCAAAAAAATCCGCCCTAATAAAATCACATTAAAGATAACGAACATAACATCTTTTATCCCCGAAGGGGTAGGCAGAGGTGCACATTACGGCACTTAATGCCAGTGTATAGTTCGACAAAATTCAAAGAACACCTTTTAAAAGTACAAAAGTATCATGTATCTCTGTCATCTTTCAAGGACTTTGTAGAGAAACAACTACTTGAGAGCGTTTTAGTTTTATCTCTACAAATTCTTTGTAAAATGAACGATATTTGAGCACGACTTAAAATTGAGTAACGTTTCAGTATTCCGGCATATCATACCTACTTAAATTGGTCGCATTTTAGTGCCGATGACGCAATATTCATTGGTGCCATTGTACATTGTTAAAATAGTGTCCATTGGTGACGAACTTTACTAACTTTTATTAGATGACGAATCATTTGTTCATACAAAAGTAGCCTCTAGCTAGGTAGTCTATAAGGTCTATATTAGCGAGTGGAAAGCGGTCACCGGTCGAGGCTTCTCATTGGTGCGCTTCGCAACCTTTTTAGATACACGTGCTTTATATTATCACTCACAGCTTCGGCACAAGTTATTTTTCCAAAGTTCGCGAACACGTAAACATTGCCGATTTAGAATATAAGTTCACGGTCGAATTTTAGTATTGTACTTATTTTAAGTAAAAATGTCTTTTATAATTAAAGTGAATGAAGATCTGGTATGTATCCAATGTTTTCTTAATTATTCCATTGTTTGTCATTAAAAGTGACAGTGTGCTTTTTAGATTTCCGATTTTGGATTTGTTAGTTTCCTGAAATTTGGTGTTGATACTTGACTTTCCAAGCTTAAGGTACTTTACTTTTGATCGATTACTTATGTTAAGGAATTTGTTTATATAAATAACTTGTCCTAGAATAAGTAATATCGTGAGTGCTCCTCTCGCCTGTGATACAGGATATTCTTCCTAGATTGATTTTAAATTAAGATGTGTATCTGTACTATGACCAATTTCTTATAATGAATAAAGATTTATTATTTATTTATTATTTAATGGGCTTGTTTTCTATGAACGATAATATTGGTGATAATTTGTTTATGAAGTAAAAAAAAACGTTGAAATGTTTATGCTAACAGAATATAATAGATTATGTTTATTTATTTTCAATGAATATAAGTACAAATTAGTGTTACAAAGTTTTAAAGTTCCTTGTAGGTACACATTCTACCTTAATGTAGGTACATTTTAAAAGAATTAAAATAAAACTTATCATCCAAGAATGTCGCGGAGAACCTAACGGGTAACCGGGGCTCCGACTCGACGTGCAGGAGAAGGAACGGGGTGGTTTTTAGTCAGTAAGAGTCTGACACTCCCTCCCGCCTCACCCAGGCGGGAGCAGTCATTCGATGATTTTCCCCCATTAAAAAAAATCATCTAAGAATTCTTGTACTGAATAATAACACTTGTTCAAAAGTAATTATGTAATTTTTTTAATATTGTTAGTGGTTGTTCCTTGACATTATGTAGGTACTAACACAATAGACATGGATTAGATTGAGATTTACTTTATTCCATGGTTTAAGTTCAAAATAATCAAATCTAAGGTGGGACTAACCAACGTCTAACGTCAGTCAGTAAAAGTTAGTCCATGGTGCCACATGGTTTAACGACGGTGTAACCATGGATTAGTTGTTTAGGTGTTGTTATATTATATAGCAGAATAAAACAGCCGTTGAAAAAATAAAGCATACGCAGCCTGTTATTAATTTTTACAGCGTTCTGCTGTAAGCGCTACATGCCATCTATTACGTTTTGGCAGAAACTTCTACGTCACCAAATGAAAATGTTAGCAACAGCTTTGAGAAACAAAATAGTTCCGATCTCTTGTTAGAGATGTCGTTGTTTTGTACTAATAGTTATTATCGATTTTAACGGTATTGACATAAGGTTGTATATTCATCGGCAACGAATAGCGCAGATCGATTTTCGTTGTTTCGTACTAACATTGACTATCGACTTACAGTGTATGACTATAAGATCGTATATTCATTGGCAACTAAAAAGCGCAGTTCGTCGATTTCATGGAATTTGTTCTGCTATTTTCCGAATTTAGTTCATTCAGCTTAGTTGCTATTTGTTATAATATTATTTATTTTTAAGTTGTAAATATTTAACGCACTCGCACACTTAGTTGTATTTTAACATTTTATTGCTAACAACTATCTATAATAATTTTTCGTCTTTAATGGCAACCGAGTTTCCAATAATTGTATGTTAAATAAATAAAATAAATAAAAATCATTTATTTCGGACATCTAAGAGATCCATAAAATTAATTAATACCATACATCATTAATACCATACCATCGCAGTTATACAAAACTTAGTCAAATATCATAATTACATTAAAATCAGTCATCCTTAAACTTAAAAAGAAGATGTCAACATAGATATACCGGCACAACATACCAGCCAGAAATACATAATAATTATTAAATTAAATTATTAAATAACTCTTCTCACAAATGACCTCCAGAGTGGGGATGAGAATCTATCCGCCACAGTCTCCAGGATTTTGTTCCGGCTGCCACGCAATCTGCAGATCAGGGATGCTGTCTTTTTGCGAATAACGGCGTGAAATCCATCAGTGCGATATGCGTTAAAAATGTATTAATAATTCTACGAACGTTTATAAACAAGACAGCGACAACGACTTGTCAAGATTTCAAGTTAACATATACTTATCCGTCATTAATGCAGTGATTTCATTTCATAGGTTTCATTGGATTTCATACCTCCTTCTCAGTCTTTATGCTCTTCAGATTTGTGAGTTACTGTATTTAACGCGTTAAACCCAGTGTAAGGATGGTATTGTTACTACGAGGTTACTCAGTGTTTGTTACTATTAGTAGGGGAGCCCATGAAGGGATTTCAGTAGTTACTCGAGCGCGTCAGATTAACATATGGGGAAAACCTAGTGTCATGTTGAATATACCCACCATATATCCGATCTGATTAGAAGGGGGGGGACTAAAAATTTAAAAAAAAGTCTGACTTAATAAATTCAGTTTCGTCAGATTAAGGGCAGGTAGGTCAATACCATGCTAAAGGAAGTGTGTTTAAAAAATCTGCCCATTACAACTAGATTTGCAAGAGTGGGGGGATATTGAAGGGTTCTCGTTTGTTCTCTCCAGATCATTCAACCTCACGATGCAAACTGGCAGATTAACTCGTCGAGTACCGGTTTTGCAGACACAATTATAGAACAATAGGTTGCGGTCACCGGTGACCGCTTGGTGTTTGACAGTTTAAGTGTTTTTTATTATTAAATACACATGGAGCATGTACACTATCAATATCTGATACGCTCGATCACTAGAACAAAAGTTACGCTTAACAATTTCAAAGATCTGTGGATTCCTCCTTCCGCCACCGGTGTAAGAAATTGTCACTAAACCATTTCTTCTTTCTATCAGCATATCTTCAAAATCCAGTAGGTCCCAACGACGCTCGAGTAAATCCAAATTTAGCATCGTGGGCTCCCCTACTATATAGATTCTCTTTTAAAGTTAATACTTTGGTATTCCGGCATTAGCTAGTCCAAGATTATCGTGAGATGAAGTTTGAAATAACCGATTTTTGTTAATAAGACTGTAAACGATTGTAGGTTCTAACTTCGATGGTTATTTTTGTCGGGTTTAAAGTTCCAATTCAGAAGGAAATAGGGGAAATCACAGACAGTGTGATGATGATCATTATATTAGCCATAGACGTCATGTCATGACTGCTACATATAACTTTACCAATGACTTCCAGACAGAGGGGAAACAGTTTTATATTTTGTTTTGTTTTTAAAGATGCTACGTGCTGAGCTTCGTCGGGCTGAAGGTGAATTGGAAGACAGGTGCTGGGCGCCTCCTCCTGGTCTCCAGCAGTGGCTGCAGTTGACACATGAGGTCGAGAACAGAGCCTACCTCCGCAAGAAGCAGCAAGCAGACTTACAGTTGCAGCAAGCGAGAGAAGCGGTAAGCCAACGTTTCCAAAGGCGCTACTTGGCGCCTATCCGTCTAGGCAGTCGACTACGAACGTTCTAGAATGTTTGCATATTTTTATACGGAAAATGTTGATGGAATATTAATTCATTCAGTTTTTAAAATAGAAGCAACTCAGTGCGGTCGCTAGTCTCTAGGTGTTAAGCAAGCCGAGTGTCAGTATGGATAATAATAAATACAAAATTCTAATTGGACTGACAATTTTATGAAAGGTTGTTCAAAGAGAACTTTTTAAATACCTTATATGAAGTTTATTTTGTTGTTTCTTCATAGTGTAATTCTTACTAATATTATAAATCGGAAAGTGAGTTTGTTTGTTAGTTCCGATTTTACGCCGTAACTACTAAACCGATTGCTTTGAATTTTTGCAGACGTAAAGTTAAAAGTCCGGATTAAATAATAGGGTACTTTTTAACCCGGAAAAATTTGATATTCCCGAGGGAAAACAAAAGTATTGGTATAAATGGCGCTGTGTGTATTGGTATATGTCACATAGGCTACTTTTTATCCTTTTGTGACGCGAGCGAAGCCGCGGGTAAAAGCTAGTCAGTTATAAAATGACAAAGTTCTAACCTGTGAACTGTCGGAACGCTGATCAACGCGAGACAATGAGTTTTCTATTGTGTCTCATATATCGACGGACACGAGGTTATAAAACTATATTGCCATAGTTGATACTACACAGTGATACCACGGCCTCACAGACGACGGACGTGAAGCAACGCTTGCGTTGTGTTTCGTCGCGTGAGTGAGGTTACCAGAGGCCCAATCACCCCTCCCTTTCCTAATCCCTAACATCCTCAACATCCTAATCCCAAAAGGCCAGTAACGCACTTGTAACGCCTCTGGTGTTCTATGGGCGACGCCGATTGCTCACCATTAGGTGATCCGTCTGTTCGTTTACCGGCTTATTCCATAAAAAAGTAGAAACTTTAACTCCTGGAAATCAACTATTTTTATTTACTATCTAGATTCAGGTATAGAACTTGATACTAACTCGAATACATTGATTGTTATAGTGTGAAAAATTGCGGAAGAAGAGATCTAGTTTGGTTGGCGCGTTTGTTTCGACGCATGGGAAATCCATTGATGATGTCGACCGGTCTATTGTAGAAGCACGGACTGCACTCAACGAGGTCACTCAAGAATTACAGGTAATTTACATATTATTTTACATAACATAACATAACATCACGCCTTTTATCCCCCAAGGAGTAAGCAGAGGTGCCCATTATAGCACTTATATATACTGAAACGTTACTCAATTTTAAGTCGTGCTTAAATATCGTGCCATCTCTGTCATTTTACAAAGAATTTGTGGAGACAAAACTATACTTAAGTGCGAATTAAAATTGAGTAGCGTTTGAGTATTCCGATATTAATGCCATGTGAAATGTAAAAGTGGTTTTTACTATTTTCACTATTTATGTTATGAGTCCCATGTAATAGGGGGCAAGTTACATGGGACTCGTAACATAAATAGTAAAAAGTGGGTGTTACTTCTGTATGCACCTCTGCCTACCCCTTCGGGGATAAAAGGCGTGATGTTATGTATGTTACACGGAAGTTTAATTGGATGCTAATCCGCGTTTGTAGTTCGATGACAGTTAATGGTCAACTGTTTTATTATAATTATAAGGTGAATAAAGTAAGTGATGAAAAGTAGGTCGCGACGTAAGCAATTTGCTTGTACGTGAACCGTACGTGCTCCCGAGGGCAAAAAATGGGATGAGCATCCATTATAAACAATATCAAAAGAAAAAGGAATATAAAGTAAAATAATAAAGTCTAATAGTTAACAAACCAAAAAAATGTTAATTGACGTTCCTTAGTCGCCTAGTACTTAATTTAAGTCTTCAAAGTGAAACGTTTTCTTCGGAGGTCCTGATTCGCAGTAAATGGGCCCCGCTGACGTCGAGTGTATTTCTTGCAGCTCGATCTCCCTTCCGAAGTTTGTAGCGATACTTTTTTCTCGTTTACTTTTAACACTTCCAATTTTATTTTACTTTAGTGTTTTTTTTTTATAATTTCAGTAATAATTTTTTGCTGCTTCATTGCCATATACTGGTGTTAATCAATAAACAATAAATAAATAAACAAATGAGTTCCAAATATGGATGCAAACTTTTTTTAGAAGATATAGAGTATTATTGATTTTATAGAAGGCAAATTCTAAAATAAAGATTACGGACTTACAAAAAAGAGTAGGTACCATTTATTTTATACGACCTTGTCATTTTTAAGTCTTTATTACTGAAGCCTATTAATGAACCTATTAATTAACATGGGGCCCAATAGGGCTGATGCTGATACGGAGCCGTGGAGGATTTAACGGGTACCGCCGGGGACTCTGGCTCGTAGTGCAGGGGTAGGAACGGGGTGGTTTTTAGTCAGTCAGAGTCTGGCACTCCCTTCCGCCTCACCTAGGCGGGAGAAGTCATTCGATGATTTGTCCCCCTCAAAAAAAAAGCGTTCTGTTTCCCCTATTAAATTGCCAAGGGAAGCGGAAACTATTACGTTTTTACTTCTCCTTTAATATCTTCTGATTTATTTCTTTGCGGGATCTAAGTTATTATTCACGTTTCTGGGAGGCACCGGGCTTGTTGCGGTGTAGTCATGGTTATATCTACTGTAGCTCCTGGCTACAGGTTTTCGGACGGTCTGGTGGGCTTATGCCATGAAATATATGTATAACACTACAAAACAGCTGATAGTTCATTCATCGCGGATTCATTTCGTTATCAATGTCACGGTCGACCGGCACATAACCGGTTATGCTCAAGAACTGTATGACGCGTAATATGATGATTTTTACGTAACAAACAATATTGGGTACTACCTACTTCGCGCGGTTTCACTCGCTCTAATCGGCGCCTATTGATTGTAGCGTGTTGTTTTATAGTCTATAGCCTTCCTCGATAAATTAACTATTCAACACAAAAATAATTTTTCAAATCGTACCAGAAGTTACCGAGATGAGCGCGTTTAAACAAACTCTTCAGCTTTATATAATAGTACAAGAGAATATTATGTCTTGGCGGTCAGTTGGGATATTAAAATTAATATTTTAATAAATAAATAAGACTTATTCGATGTATGGCTATAGATTCAGTGCTAACGCGGCACTAGCTCAGAGTAGGAATATGAACGGGGTGGTTTTTAGTCAGTAAGAGTCTGACACACTCCCTTACAGGCCGAGAGAAGTCATTTGACAATATGACCCCCTCAAAAATTGCTATTGTAGTAGTATAATTACTTAAAAAAAATGATATCTCGCACATCATGAATTTTCGTCACAAAAGTCAGGGTCAACCGTTAAACAGCTGATTATGCTCAAGAACCGGATAACGCGTAATATGACGATTTTTACGCTAAAATATTTGATGTGTCTTCTCTTCAGTTGGGCTATTAAGACTTGCTATAGAAAAACTCTTATTTCACCGATATACTATTATAATTGTGGACTGAAAGTTTGTGTGATGAATAATAATAGCCATAGACTTATTTATGGGGTTAAATAAGAGGTTAGAGACATCAGGTGACATGTGGGTGTATATTGCATTACCACAACTCTGCTTACACCTTCTCGGGGTTCAGAAACTACAGAGTATCACCATGGTAATAGTTTAGTCTTTACATAATTCTTTAGTTATCAATACTGGAAGGCTACTGAATTTTGAGTCGTGCTCAAATATCGTGCCATCTCTGTCATTTTACAAAGAATTTGTAGAGATAGAACTATACTTAAGCACGACTTAAAATTGAGTAGCGTTTCAGTATTCCGACATAAAAGCATGAGAGGTTTAAGGGGCCTCCCCCTTCTTCGGTAGACTCAAATCTCATCTAATCTTACGTTGAAGAGATAGGGGGGTCCCGGCAAAAAAATTATACTATTTTAGTCCATTTAATCCAGATTGTACATTCTTAAGATTTAATTGTAGTAATTGTACATGCACATGGATTTTTTTAAACAATAACAATCCAACACGTTTTCGTGAAAAACCAACATTTTGAAAAATCTCCCCCGTGAGATTGGGGGATGGGGGAGGGTGTTGAATAAAATCTTACGGGGGGGAGAGGGGGGGACCGAAAATTAAAAAAACACCTTACGTAATTTATGGACGCCCCCTTAGGTTTTATTAACTCTGGAGGAGACCTTTGTTCTGCAGTGGATGTCCTCTGGCTGATAATTAAGTAAGCTGCTAAATATTCGATATTGTATTTTGCAGGAGCGCATGCACAGATGGAAGCAAATCGAGCGTATGTGTGGGTTTAACATAATCAATAACAACGGACTGCAGTACTTGGAGACTGCGCTGTACAGGAGTGCCAACGGCCGGCCTACTGGACGAGGTAAATATATCATTTCTACAGTTATACTTACTAATATTATAAAGCTAGAGTTTGGTTGGGCGAATACGCTCTTTGTTCCTTGCTTGAAACCAATAACTGCACTGGTAAAGTCCTGACCTGGTGACAATGGACCTTGGATGTGTAACCTTTCAAACAAAGGAAGAATTTTAAAAATCGGTCCACGAACGGAGGAGTAATCGGTGAACTTTTTTTATGGAATAAGCCTCCGGTCGAGCCGGCCCATTCGTACGCAATAAAAAATAAAAATAGCCTTTATTCTACTACAATATCACATGCATTAAAATCAATATTATTGTTTCATTAAATTATTACGTTACATTTCGATCAATATAATATCATTTCAAATAAACTAAATAAAATCAAATAAATTCCCAATAAAGTTACTAATTACGATTAAAAATTTAATCGTTATAACTTTAGTTTGGTTCATTGTTTGTGGAAGTCGCCTCAATGGCGTAGACATTCCTCAAATTTTCTCCATTTAACTCTGTCTCTTGCTTCTCATCTCCATGTGGTCCCACAAATGTTAACAAAAATATCCATAAATTTACGTAATAGTATTTATAAAGTAAAAAACTACTAAACCCTAGTTTCTCCGCCTTATTGTCATTTCTTAGCAAACACAAATTAATACAACATCATATTTTTCAATATCTTATTCATAAATCCTTATTCATCTTCTAGGTCGCATCAGCAGTTCTCAAGATGACCTGAGCATCGGTGATGATGCGTCAATATGTGGCTCAGGTAAGAACTACGATGAAATGTCCCTATTCCACGAACACATCGAGTGAACCCGACAAACACTAGTAGTTGCATTCATACTGTTTGTAAACAACTTTTTCCCATTTATTCAAACAATTTTGACCTCTATTGCTTAAATTTAAAAGGCAAGTTATCTCGCTGGTGTTACGCTTTGCCGTATGTATGCTTGTTTAGAGCTCAAATTTGCTTGAATAATGAATTATGGATGAAAGTAAGGATTTTTTGTCCTGGCAGAACTAAGTAGGCCCTTTATCAGAGTTTTTACTGATGAATTGAAATTGAATTAAGAAGTTTTTGTAAGGTAATTGACTTCTATATTATTTGAGTAACTCCTTTTTATAGTAGTATAATTTTAATTGCTCTGGGTTGCAAACGTATTAAAATATTATTAGTCTTAGTCGATTTTCAGGAGAACAACACTATGAATGCATCTGTTTTAAATTTTGTTTCTTTTGTATCGTTGGATTTTCAAAATAGCTGGTAGTTAAAACAAGCATTTAGATGAATAATGGGTTATATCGTCATAAAATTGAAGTTTGTTTTATTAATGAAACGATAGGATCAAAGAAAAAAGTTGTTGTTGAGCGCCATTGATAAGTAAAATTTCGTTGGATGGCTTAATATTTTGACATTAGTTAATAGTTGATGATCTTACACAACTACAGTGCTTTTAAGGTTGTTAAAACCATATTAACAAAGTCCTTAAAGTTTTAAAATAGAGGTTTTCGTTAGTCATATTTTTGTTTTGCATTTAACAGTGAAAGCATTTGCAAAAATGTTTATATTGTAAAGATAAATGTTTTTTTAAACTGAATCTCAAATGAGCTTCGATCTTGTAATTCAATAATCTATACTCTGTAGTCTGTACATGTCATGATGGTTTGCAAGACATTTTTCGAAATCTTCCATTTTTCGATATCTTACATTTATCGATTGATTGTAATCGACTAACGAGTATTCAATTATCATGCTCTCAAAAATGTCATGCAATCATCTTACATGCGCAGATTATAAACGCTTCAAGACTATAATTGTTATAGGCAAGTAAATTCAAGTTACAAAACAAAAACAATCTGTGTTCAAAAAGTGTGTAAAAAGTAATAAAACCGTAATAGTAACGTATCTCGAAAGAAGGATATTATTATATAAAACTTTATTTTTAGCCTTCAAGGTCCAATCAAATATACAAATGAACGACCAATCGCTTCCATCAGAACTTATTTGTTATAGATCACAAATAAGTTGACTTGACCAATCACAGAGCTTGTAAGGTTTTACGAAACATTTAATCGGCCAATCATAAGTTCTGAATTCAATGTGTATCTATGAACTGTAGGACAGAATCTTCTTAATTTCTATTCTATTCGTAGTTAAAAAAGACGAAACGGAAGTGCCTTGACTTGTCCTTTTCTCACATTACCTTGCTAGAAAAAGATAGCAATATCCTCATATAGATCCGTTTGCAGCCAATTATATAGTAGTTCTTATTTTGAAAGCGGCTGTTACTTCAGAGCCATGTTTAAATAGTATTAGAATAGTCAAAATAATATTTATTCAACGGCTTTAACGGCAGCCATCTTTAATTTATTTTTTGCTTCTTTTTTTATTTTTGAAGCATTTATTTTATTAAATAATCTTCCGTATCTTTTAAATTACGTAATTCAAATCTAATGTAGGCAAGGTTTCATTTGGATTGTTAACAAATATATTATTAACCATTATTATTAGTGAAAAAAATCATTATAACCTATAAGTGTTACTAAATTTTGAGCTTTTGCTGTTTTTAAATGTCTATCTAAATAATTGTTTAACCAATGTTCCAATTTTAAATCGATGTGATAATTAACTAGTAATACTTGTCACAAGCCTCGCTTTGCTTGTAAAGTGATAAAATGTTACCCTTTAAATTAAAGCAAAATATATAACCTGTTTAATCTGTGCTCAAAATACTTTAGGCGGAATCTAGTTAGTGTTGTACTTAAAAACGATTAATGTATCGATATGGATATTTTTAGTCGATTTTGATATGTCATAAATATAATATTTTTGTAACTTACTTAAATTAATCGTTATGTTATCTAATATTATTTTATTTATAATTTTACATTGAGCATCGATTACTCCCATCGAATGGTTTACAGTAGACAGTTTGGTTAGTTTCCAAAACATTTTTCATATAAACATTTTTTAAATTAATCATAGTAAATAGTAACTAGTACAATCTTCCATCGAGTTTATACGGTTAATCGATATACAATCGAATTGTTAATCGAGTTCCTGATGTAGATCTTAAATATATAACGGTGACATTAATGATAAGTTTGAAAAACATTGTTATTTATTATTATTAGTTTCTAAGTAACAATTTTATGTATGTATTTTGATTAAATAAATTGTATTTTGAGAAATTTCGTTCGTCACAATCGGTAGGAAGCTTTCAGGCTGAAGATACAAGGTACAGTGGCCAGTAGATCAACCTACTGTCAGATTTGTTCATTGGATTTTCGACTTGAATATAAAAAGTTGAAAATGTAATAGATAAATTTGATAGGATAGGTTGACCTGTTGGCCACCGCACATAAATTATTTACGGTGTTCTCAAGTTTCCCAATTAAGCAAAGCATGTATGAAGTAATAGATGTATTTTTTGTACATAATATTATATTGTCGGTGTGGGTTTTCTTTCGCTCTTCTATCCTTGTGCATGTTGTAAACTAATATCATACGATTACATGGTTATTCAGTAAGCTTGAAGCTATTCTTCTACGCACGCAAGTTGAAATGACGCTAAATAATAATAAAATATAACGCATATAATATTAAAAAAGGTTTCTATTACATTAGGCATAATTAGATATTGTTTTTAAATTAGTAATTGGCTTTATTTTAATACTGCTTGTAAATACCCCAGCTTGATATGTTTAGTAGATTATTTAGTCGATTTTGAACGAATGACATGATACTCTATGCACGTTTGAAAGCTTTTGACGATTGTGATTTTGTTTTATTTTGCCGCCAAACCCTTCCCGGCTTCCATCAGTGTTGCAAGGATTTTCCAGTATAGACTATATTAGTTATGCTTTATCAGTGTTTTTATGGCAACATTTAGATTGTTTGGCACTTGCAGGTAAGACATTGTTGAATTTACGCTTTGTTATGTAGAATTACTTCGTTATATTATTTCATACATGCTTTGGAGTTGATTGAGCTTTATAACATCATATATAGATAAATGAATAGTTTTAACAAAGATGGCGTCTGGGGAAACATTTGCTTGGTTTATTTGTTTTGATGTTTATTGTTGTTTAATTGTATTGTTGCTTACAGTTGCTGATAACTTCGTATGGCGGGAAGATTCCTCGGGCAGCGAAGCGGATGCTCCACACTACCCGCTAGACCTAAGACTTGCCGAGGCTCGGTACGTTATTTTTAAAGATACTTACGCCTGGAAGGTAGTTCTTTGCTTATCTTTCGAGAAGAATTGACTAAAACATACGCAAGAATCAGTTCAATGTTGCTTTTTTATTTTTCAAACTACACTACATTTTTAAAGTTTGCGATGTTGTTTTTTTTCTACTTATATGACTGTTACATTGCAGCATAATTAATTATTTAAATATGTAGTTGTTTTAAAGATTTGCAATTAAAACTAGTCCTTAGTTCTTCTTATCGATAATCGAAATGGATTTCACAGCACTAAAATTATACTTTATATTGCAGATTACAATTAGAAGAGCGCTTAGCGCAAGAAGCTCGCGAGCGCAGACAGGACGAGCGCATAGAACGCCGCGCGGAAGAGAAGCGAGCCGCTCTCGAGGACTTTAGAGCGAGGACCTCTTACAACGACCTGCGGAAGACTCCCACTGATGACAGGAATAAGGAGCAGGTGCAGTTCATATTGGGAGGGGATAAGTAAGTATTTGTAGGATCAGGGTCCGACATTATTTGAAAATAAAACAAAGGGCTTCACACAATCACTTAGTTTATTTCGATTAAATGAACTTACTTTCACATTAATTTTTAATTATAATAATTGAATAATTCAGCACTGATTATATAAAGGAAACACTCATATAAAACCAACAATAAAATTACTCAGCGATTGCGTAACGTGTGAACTGGGCAACGATCGACGAACGACTGACTCGAGCTTGCGCTTGCGCTGCTTTATATATCACTCGGTGGTGGGGTTGAAGTGACGTCGGTCAGTTGTTTGTTCACTGCTCGCCCATTACATTCACAGTTTACAAAATAATGACGGCGGCGCCGTCATATTTATTAAATTATTGTTGCATAAATATTTACTAAGTTTTCTTAGGTAAGCAAGTCTTATATGATCTATGCTTGAAAACGAAACCCATTTTCGGGGATTCCTGCACTTTAAGGCACTCGCTTTAGAACCGATTAGGTGGGGGAATTACCGCGCGCTGTTTACTTGTCTAATTTCCGCGTTGTTTCTTAAGTTGAAAGTTAACATATACAGTATGTAGCTAGACCTATTTTTTCCAAGCTGTAGTAAAACATTAGGATCGAAAATATTTTATTGTCTCGAGTCTCGAATATTTTATGGGATCCAGTGCTCGGATTGACTTGACAACTGAAAACTGTAGAGTAGTCGTACTGTCCTGTAGAGGGTAGTTGTACTAACTATAACCCTTCGTTTACCAAAATGTATACCTAAGCGAGACGAAATGTGTACTTTTAATGTCGGCACGGTTGGCGCGATAACTGGGCTACTGGCTGCCGCGCAACGTGTCGTAGTTCTGGGTTTGGGTGTCATGTGTATGAACTTGTATGTTTGTAAACGCACCCACGACACAGGAAAAAATCCTAGTGTGGGGCAACGATTAAAAAAAATATCTTTCGCGGGTCATATCCACTCAAGGTTAAACTACATAATCCATTTTTTCAGTGTAAACTGGTCAGGCGAGCCAGAAACACCGCGCATTGCGGAGCTCACTCGCGCAGTGACATCGGCATCCCAGCCGCAGCTCCGTGCCTCGGTCCGCGGGGCTCCGCTGCCGCCCCCGCGCCGCGTCCTGTCCTCTGTCGCAGCCCCCATCGTACGCTCCCGTAGTACTGATGTAGTACCACTGTCTGATGACCCTAGACCTCCACCTAGGAATGCCTTCCCGAGGCCGAAGACGCTTGCTGAAGGTTAGTTATATGTCTAGTTTTTCTATGGTAAAGTACCATATAGATCACCTAATAGTAAACAATCAGCACCGCCCGTGGACAACACATATAAAGAACACATACTAGTGCAATGCTGGCCTTTTGGAAGTTAGAGATTTAAAGATTGGGAATTAGGATTACCTCAATTACGCAACGGTCATGTTCTAATGATCATCCATTCGCTTCCAGACGCCCCAACGCCTTCAAGCAACACGCCACCAGAAGAAGAATCAACGGACTCCTCACTGATGGACGACGAAGGTATTCCTAAGCCTCGTAAGCGTCGCATCCACCTCCCCTTCGGCAAGAAAGCCAAAACACCAGCGTGACGTCACCACCAAGTAACCCGGTGACATTTGACAAGCCATCACTGAAATGGCGAAGCGTGTTTGGTAACAAAACTGCCATTTTACCTGTCCAGGTGATACTAGGATAATGCGAAAGAATAATGAGGTTTCTTGCTCGTTCTACTCCTTAAGAAGGAACGAACGAGCTTCACTAAAGGACCGAAGACGTATTTTTCTTTGACTTTCAAAAGTGCCTTTTCGAATAGTGATTTATACCTAAGTTCCTCAAACCTTGTAAACGTTTTTATTAATTTTCTTCAGTTCATCTGAACAGGTAATTTGGTAGGTCTTTCATATAAATTTTATTAACTGTTTAAGTACAAAATATGAAGGTTACTCAGTGGTCAAACATGAGATATATGTTTGACAGTTTATTATAAAAATTAAATGCATTAGTTAGTAAAGAAACCAATTGACTCCTTAATGTCTGTGTAGAGATATCCTCACTTCAAATCTTTTTTTAATTTTAACTTATCTGCCCGCCCGATGTTTACAAACTTTCCTATTTTGTACTTAAAAACGTTTGGCAATAAATTATTCGTTCCCAAGAAAGTAGTTTTTAATAGAATAATAATTAATTTCGCGGCCTAATGCAGAAACTATCGTTTCTTAGTAAAGAAGTCAATTGATACACCAAGGGAATTTGGTGGAGGCCAGTGATTTATAAGATAATTACCTCATTAAGTGAGGTATTGTAGAAACTATAAGACCTACATTTTACTTAGGTCGTTTAGTAACTTTTTAAGTCTTGATTCAAATCCTTTAAGGCCAGTTTTACAGTCTCTAATACTATTTAGTAGTAGGTTCATTAACTGTCTTAAATAAGAAATTGAATGTAATCAAGTAGTTTAGTTGCATTGATAGTAACCGATTATGAAGGTGTAAAACCATTAATTTTTTTATAGAATTATTGATACTTTCTTTAAGGTCTTTTTGGCTCTCAAAAAGTACGTGGTAAAGTGGTGTCTAAAGTAGTTATTAATACTTTAGACACCACTGCTCAATATTCTGGCATAATGTTTCATAATATGCCAGTTAAATATATCAACAACGAGTCGACGCTCACGGACTCTTCGTACGGCCTAAAATTTTTTTTCTTACTTTTTATACTGGACTTCCATTTCAACGCTAAAATTAGCCAAATCGGTTCAGCAGTTCTCGACTTTTAGCGGGACTAACGGAAATTCATTTTTATTTATATATATTTATTACAAGGGACTGTAAAACTGGCCTCTTACTCACAGCGACCGTATAACATAATTAGCTATTGAATTAATTATTATTAATGAATAGTTCGCGCTTCGTCTCAGTTGTGCATAAATCTTGGTTGTAATTTGACTGAGTGACATTTGATTTTCCCCCCAAAAATAGATTTCTTGCACGTTTGTTAGTCTTAACTACACGTTTTGTAGTATTGTTTCCTACTTTGTATTATATTTATGTACTTAAAATCACTTTTTGCAATACGTTTTTTTGATATTTCTCTGTAAATGGTTTTGCGAGGCTGTATATACTTTTTATCTCAAATCAAATGTGTAATGACAATACAGTTGTTTAAAATATGATTATAATTTTATACATAATAATTTTCGATAGGTACTATACGTTTCTTGATACAATAGTAAACAACATATGCTATATATTCTTTTATATATATTTTGCTACGCGAAATCGGTTTTTATGGCTATAAGAATACGTTATGATTTGATAATTTGCAGGTATTTCCTCAGGAATTCTACATAAAAACGATAATTATATAAAAATATAACCAATCTTACTACAATACAATTAAAAAGTTAGAGTTAGAAAATGAAAATTGTAATTGCCATTCAAGTATGAACGGTTTTTATGTTCGATAGCTCACACAGGCTGTATTTATTATCACACCATTAGTACATGGTTACTTAGAACACATAACATCACGCCTTTTATCCTCGAAGGGGTAGGCAAAGGTGCACATTATACCACTGTACAATGTAACACCCACTTTTCACTATTTATGTTATGAGTCCCATGTAATAGGGGGTGAGCCTATTGCCATAAACCGGTCACAGTTCCAGACTCCGTGCTACTACTGAGTTTTTAAATGAAACTGGTTACTTAGAGCTAATTAAAAAAAAAAACTAGAAATCTGGATTTATTGATGGCCAGATGTTTTTGTCATCATCACTATTAACCTAGACGTATTTCCTATCTCATCATCATCTTCATCAACAGCCGAAAGACGTCCAATGCTAGAGAAGGGCCTCCCCCTTAGTCTTTATTTCCTATGTGTAACATAATTATTATGGTTGTGCAATATTTTAATTCAGAAACATACTTTAATAGATTCTAAATACAGCCCTGTGTAAAAAAAAATACACTTGCATGAAAGACATTTTGTATGTTTAGATGTCTAGGCCAATAAGTTGTTTTATTATTTATTTTTAAATATTTTTTTTTATTGTATAAAGACATTTTAACGAATATTTTGTCCGTTTTTGGAATGTTGTCTTGTGAGAACCAGTTCTCCTAAAAATCTCCAATTTTGATTTTATATTTATATGTTAGAGAGGTCGGGATGGGAACCCTATTTTTGTGCAAATTTAAATTAGTTAGATATGTTAAATAAATCACCGAATAATGTATTTTCACTTTATTTTTATGTATTATCATTTTTATTTTTATTTATGACTGCCTAATGCGTGTTCCCTTGCTTTTTAATCCTGATATTAGATTTCAATGTAAAATATTTAAATTATAGTGAATTATTTTAATTTCTTGAAATTTAGTTAATGCTACTTTGATTACTTGTAAACTAAACATATTCCCATATTGTTTTGTCTTGAAATTCGCCGGAGTGTCGACTAGATATGAGCGCAGTTATGTTGTGATTATTGTAAAGTTTACAGTATTTCAGAAAACGCCCAATATTATACAATTAATACACTACTAGTATTTTATCGTAAAAATAACAAAAAAATTGTGTTGTATTCTTACAACTTTCAAGTGTGTTGAAATAAATGCAACAATTATGAGTTATTCTGCTTAATATCATTTATTAATTTACGTTTTCTGAAATACCGTGTTTGTAAATCATTTGCTAGTATAATAAACTAATCGCAGTATAAGTTACTATTAACACGAGTTTACCATATCGCATCATTCCCTTTTTTTCGTAGATGATAGCGATATTATCGACCTTTAGCTGTACGTGTAGAATTATTTGTAAGGCAACATGGTGCTAAATGAACATTCTCAGACTGAACACCGCGCATGGCTCAAATTTTTTGTATGAATTTTATTATTCTGCTCGTTTCTATGTGGTTTTGTACTAAATTGTGACGTGATGTTGCGTTTAGCTCCTGCCGTTAGTGAAATATATCTAATGTTATCGTTGGCGTTACAAATGAGTTCATAATCTAAAGTTCTAATACAAATTCATCAGTTGGCTCAAATTGTCTAACGCCAATGACAGTCAATGAAATCAGTATCATAAATAGTTCAAGTTATATAATGACGCTATACGTAATAATGTATTATAATGTCCCAGTCGTGTCTACACCGTGAAACATTAAGAAATTCGTACTTAATGAAATTAATAGTGTAATGCAGAAGTTGAGTACAAAATTGTTTGACAAGTGGTAACCAGCAAAGCCTACAAGGTACACTTGTATTATGTTTATTTTAACTTGGATTTTAGATATATTTTAATTAGTTAATTATTGCGATTTATTTTATGGCACCTTATCCTGTGAGGAAGCAATAATCGACATTACAATTAGCCAATCAACACGAACCAATGAGCCTACTATTGTAGGTCCCTATTTACCACGTTCGATGCCATAAAATAGATCAGATTTTCACGAAGTGTATATTTTGTAGACCCCAGATCTGATCGCGTTGTAAAGACAAATCGTGATAAATAAATTGTTACAATCATTGAAAGTTAATAAATTGATATTACAAAAGCTGTGTTTTAATTTATAACTAAGAATCCTCAAAGGATTCATTATTGGGAAACATCCTACAAGAATGTGAGAGTGGTAAAGAGCCAGATATGCCCAAATACTCATACGTTTACATCGTGTATAATTCTTTTGTAGAATGGCAGAGTACAATATCTTTTTTTACAAGTACAACTTAAACATTTTCTTTCAGCATTCGGGCGTTAGTCGTTCATAGTTTCACAGATACTAAGCAGGAGTTCTTATCCCTTCATCATTGGCACCGCAACACTGTTAGGCTGGTTTTACAGTCACGCGTTTCGGCAGCGCCGTCGGAGCGCGCGCGCTCGGATATGTATTGGGGTATTAGTAGCGTTTCAAATTCGCGCGCTTGAGCAGCGCCGTTCGTTGAACGCGTCCTATTCGCGCGGCGCGGTCGAAGCGCGCGCCGCTCGTGCGCTTCTACGGCCATTGTGCGTTTTAGTCTCACGCCGTTGAGACGTGCCGTTAGGTACTGTTGTGTACAAAATGAATCACATGGATACGGGTCGAGTAATTGACGAAGTGCGAATTAGAAGATGTTTATGGGACCCGGCCGATGATTTTTATAAGAAAACTCTAACTTGCACAGTAATTCGTCGAAACTGCTGGTTGATAGGCGAAAATATTTATAAAATTTATAACTATTTTCTCGTAAATCAGAGAAAGATGTTACGTGTTCGCCTCTCAGTAACCTTGTAGCGTTATAAGGATCAACACCTTCTGTTCTTCGACGTTTTTGTTGCCTTTTTTTCCATAAAAAGTAAATAGCCAGTACTCTAACCGCATTGCCGTTCATTTTGTATCTGTTTGTACACGACTGTCTCACAGCAGCGAAACGCGCCGTACTAATGTCGTTTTATGGTGCACCGCTGTTCAAACGCGCGCTGTCCAACAGCGCGCTGTCCAACGGCGCGTCTAGCGGCGTGACTGTAAAACCAGCCTTACAACTACAAGACGCCAGAACAGGCCACATTATTTGTATAATTTCTCCAAAACAGCTATGTTTGACCTCCTCGTATTATAATTGTTGGGGAGAGTTTTTGGACTGTATAAATGATGATGCTGATTAAAGGTCTAGGTACTGGTTTATTCGACGGAAGGTAGGTGTGCCTTTACAAATATACGGCGCGCAACGCGTAGTGCTCACAGCTAATCGAGTGGAAAAGAACGGGCCGCGATCCTCGTCCTCCTATATGTTGATCCCCGCGCAGCGCTGTCCCCCCTCTGATGCCACCGCCAGTGCCGCCTCCATCGACGTCATCGAGATGTCAGAGACGTTTCCGAACAATAATTTTAGTCTCCAATTGAGCCTTAAGCTCTCTAATATTATTCATACCTCGAAGGGTTCGTATTGATAATTACTTTACAAATGAGGCTAACTTTTCCCAGATTTACAGGGGTTTTTTTGGCTAGGACCTCTAGTTTTAGAGTTATTGCAATATTTTCAGACTATGATGAGCGAAATGAATTTTATTATAAATATTACCTATATACGATGTTTGTAACTTCATAAATGGGTCCATTTCAAATTAAGGTCTTGCCATATCTTGTAATTAGGAAATTTGTCTTTCAGGGGTGCTACCCAAGTGCACCCCTACCTACTCTTGGATGACGTTATTTGATACCTTACCTAGTGCTCCTCAGACTACCGCAATAGTTGAATTTCGTTGTAGAAATTTATGAAATAAGCCTTGGACATTTTGCAAGATTTCAGTGTTGCCATCCTAATAATTTGCTAACTACCACTTTGTCAAAGTCAAAGCATTTATTTCAATAAATTAAACCATAATTTGGTACTTTTGAAACGTCAACAAATACAAAATAAATAATAGTCTGTCAGTCAGTCCAGCTAGGTGAAGCTAGGTGCTCATTCCAAAATGTAGATTCGACGGAGAAGAACGAGCAAGTAACTCCATTCGTTACTCTTTTTTTAAAAAGTATGTTCTACAATGTCTCTGATACATATTTCAATTTGATTGCAATAGTATCTCATCGACTATATTTTTTACCAATATTCGTATATGCTCGAGCTTGTATTAGTTTATTACATAGCTTTGACTGAGTGTGTGAGGAAGGGGGTTAAGAAAAAAATGCACCAAATATTTTAATTACGAAATTTATTTAAAAATGTTACGTGTACAAATACCCTATAGCTGGTGTACGCGATGCGAGCAATACGTTATATCATTATAAAAAGAACACTGCTCCTCAATAGCCTTACAATCAAAATGAAGTTATAAGTAACAACATAACAATTACGCCTACAACATAACCTCTACCGGTCATAACATAACAATTTGCATTGAAGTTCCAAGTATTTACGATAATGGCGCATTATAAAGTACAAAATAACATTATTTAATATTAATTACCGTCTCATAGACCGTTACATCAAACATGTTAACAGACTGTTAACTACATCACAAGTCGTATTAACCTAGTTATCGTGCCGTAAGCACCAACCCGATTTAGATTTATCAAAAATAATGAACAAGGCGGATAATTAAAATGGTTTTTAACTTCGAAGCGGAGACAAGTGTTACATTAATTGAGCGCTATAAATACACCGTTTAAAGTTGGTTTTTGCACTTTCCCAGTCTGCCAGTTACATATTAAAATAATAAAAGCGCACAACGATGCTCACGTCACCGTTTCGAAGACTGCATTGTGTAGCATTCCTTACATTTTGATGTGTTTTGACACGAAATAGGAATGTGGAGGAGACGGCTTGCGAGGTTACTTAGTAAAACTCTTTCACGTTCTAATAAAAAGCATCCTATACATATCAGTCACTGCATTAAATTTAGTGCATTTGTGTATGGCGAGGTCGGTGGTGACAATATTTCCTTACGTTCACGGCAGTATAATCTTCATAGACAAAGCAGTACAACATCACAAATACAGGACAAGTATATCAATTTCATTTATGTATCGACGAGTTAGAATCTGGTATCTAAACGTTGCGCGTACGTTTACGACATTGATTATGAAGGTCTATTTAATACAATTTACCTTAGAACTGATTAACTCGTCGAGTACCGGTTTTGTAGACACAATTATAGAACAATAGGTTGCGGTCACCGGTGACCGCTTGGTGTTTGACAGTTTAAAGAACATTGCCGTCCACTACAAAGAACCGAGTGAATAAAATAAGTTTGACAACGAATTCATTCTGCGTTCTTACGAGAACTAAGTAGCGAGTTGAATGTAGTGAATGACAAGTAGATATTCAGCACCAAACATACGTTTCGTATGCACAGACCTCGACAGTTAGATAAGAGTGGCGCAGTAGTGCAGCCGGCTGCCCGCGCACTATTGTTGCTTGCACTCGGCGGGGTTGTCCTGCGCGCCCTTGATGGGCTTCTTGCCTCGTCTCCGCGGCGCCGGCTCCTCGTCTTCACTCTCTTCGGTGGAGCATTCCTCCTCCTCCTGACAACGCCAATACAACGTCAACACATATTACTAAACACCGACCTCGGCGCGACTCGTTACCTTACATTACAGTCAACGTGAATTCTGCAACCATCTGCACTCGACAAACTTGCACAATTCGCATGCAAATAATAATATAAGGATAAAATAAATAAAACACTCGGGTAAAAAGCATACAATTTTAATGTCATCATTACGACATCATGCCAAAAACATAAGCCATTACCGATATATAAAAACTACCTGACGAGCTGCTATACATTGACATTATATTATGCTAACTTCAATAGAAGGTTACATAAATAAAAAATATACATCTATTATCCGACCTAACTATTGTCAAATCATTATTAAAATACATATATTATTATCATATCGGATATAGATCACAGTTGGCGATGTTCAAGTGATGATGTAAAAATGCATTTTGGCACTAAAAAGAGATTCAGCGAATTCAATTCTTGGGCTGACTGCCGTAGCGGCAGTACGCACGGAGCGAAGGATCTACTAGCGTCTCAATGGAATGACGGTACTTCAATTTCAATCAATAGGAAACATTAAAATATAGCCTTAGAGAATAGTAATATCACATGAAATTTCAAAGTACTCAAACGAATATGTAAAATTCGTAAACAAAAATACACACTATAATTACTGTATAATAAATAAAAACGAGTAATGTATAAACTAAACTAGAAATGCAAAATAGTTGTCGTAACAGACATCTAACAAGTTAACATGCATTATAACATCGATAATGAAGGCACCTCACACTTCTCGCATCAAGACTACGGGAGCCCCTTGCCAGCCTTATACAAAAATCTACTCTAAAACATATTTATCTGGACAGGGATAAACCATGCATAGAACGGACATGTGGATCTGCGAGAAGTTTATCTTTACTAAATATTCTAGCGTACAAATACTACCGATTTAAAGGACAATAACCCGACGCGTTGCAGGAGTATTCATTATCACGTTTCGCTTGGCGAATCGATTTTTGGTTCAATTTAAAAGAGATATGGGCTGATATGGTCGCGATAAAGACTAAAGCACGCAGAGCTCGTGAGCACGAGCCGCTAGATGCCCACGCCAACGCCGGGGAGTTGGGCGTGGGCACGTAGCGAGCTGCCGACTGACGCTATATATAACGCTAGGGGCGGTCGGACAACGTCTTGCATCAATCCTCCGCGTCGGACACTTCCTCCGTCCCAGAGTCTTCGTCAAAGTACGAATCCTCCTGAAACCAAATATACCGCTTTTGTTTGTGCTGCCACCAGCCAACACCCACCAGACGTAGATACTGTATACTCTGTTACCCGTGGAAGATTTATGCAGACGCATTACCGTACGGCGTACACTACACGAGGGGAGCGGGGTTACAATACATACTGTACCTTCGTCTGATTGCGGGGAGTGGGGGGGAGGCAAACTCAATGTTTAGCACAACCGCTGCTAAACTAGCTAAGCAAGCATAATCAAAAGTTTCTACCATGCAAGTAGGTTCAAACACCTTGTGGAAATGCTAGATGGCTGTAGAATTCACTGTTTTTGAAGTTATGCAGATAAGCGCGTTCAATTTATACTGTGTGTTCTGTGTGCTCATCATCGCAATCATCTCGTTGCGATGAATGTTCAATCAGAAATACGATTTCGTTATAAATAGTGCCTTTTTATAGACTTAAAGGTGGAGTTAGTTCAGCATTAATTAGTAAATTCAGATTTCTGATTGAACAGTTAACGTCTTTATAGAGAAAATAAAACAACTATATGGGCTATTATTAGCATATTTCGCGGTACATTGAATACAGAGTTCTGCCTTGGAAGCACAATGCTAGAAATCGAAGAGACAAATTTGTTAGTGGCTCATTATGTAATTCATTTTATTGTTAGTCATCTATTGGTTACATTCATGCAAAACTCACGTAATCCCTACTTCACAAGGCATTCGATAGTGTATACGCGTTCTAGTGTCGTACTTCCGAGGCAGACTAACAGGCAAACGTATAGTGCAAGTAGATGTACTGACCTCTTCCTCATAATCATCATCGTCGTCGTCGTCAAGACCCTCGCCGGTGTAGAGCAGGACGGCGCGCGACACGACACGCTCGCGAATGTAGTGACCGATCTCAAAGTCTGCTGTGAGCAGCGCCTGAAAAGTTTTGATTAACATATTGAAATCACATTTTAGTAAATTTATGGAATAATTAGTGGTCGAAATAAAACTAAAACCACAATAAGACTGTCAAAAATTTCCAGATCAAGCAGCCTAAATTATTCTATATCAAATTATAGATTATTTGTTAATTAAAATTCTAATCTCCAAAACTACTGATTCTAGTTAAGAAATTTTTTTTGTGTTGGACAATTCATTTATTCATCATAAAACATCATGCTACGACGAATAAGAGCCGAGCAGTGTAGTGTAAAGTAGCCACTTATATACAAAAACTTACTCATATTCATATTTACCTGAATATCAGAGGCGAGAGTGGAGTTGGGGTCATCAGGCATGGTGGGTGGCGAGAAGAAGTTGAAGAATGAATCAGCCTGCACCGACTTGGTGACGGTACGCACTGAACCACGGGACTTGTGCTTCTGCTTCTTCTTTATCGTCTTCACTGTTACATTCTTGCCCTTCTTCCAGTTGATCTCACAACCCTGGTGATAAAATAAGAATTTTTATTTTCTGTTGTAGAATATTGGGCATATGAGATATGAACACTGGATATTCAATATTAAAGACAACCACTTTATAGGATCAAAAGAGACAATGAAAATGAACCATTTTTATTTGAAAAACTCAGTGCTAATAAAACATCATAACTATCAAGCTTGACATAATAGACAAAAGGGGAATTTCAATAAAAAACCTATTTACTGAAAATACATACCTTGCATGAGTAGATCTCGGGACCTTCGAACTCCAGAGGGTTCTCATCATCAGGCTTGCACTTCATTGAATATTCCTTCGTCAAGATGGTGTTTGTGAAGTAATCATTGGGTGCGAAGTGGAATTCCAGTGTGAAACCGATAGGATCCTCGTGCATTTGCACTGAAATATATAAAAAATGTTAGGGTATGTGGAAATGGGTGATGATTTTGAGATTTTTTCAAGGATGCCTCAGTTGGTGATGCATGTTAAACAAATCGATCATGATTTATTCTGTGATTGGTGTTGAATGTCATCATAAAATTTCATTTCTAACTTCCTAATAAGCTTGCAAACCTTATTTATACCTTGCATGATAGTCTAAAAAGTGGCATATAAGTGTTAAATATTTACCTTTAATATCCTGCAAACATTTGAGGATGGGTTCGTCATGCTCCTGCATCATCTCACACAGCATAGAAACATTCTTAAATATGGTGTACCAGAAGTCTGGGATGCCCTTAACATTAGGATCCATTGGTGGCCTGAAATATATTCCCTAAGTTAAAACCTTCATCAAGAATCATGAGTGGGAAGAATTATAAGAATAGAGCCTCAGTTGGTGATGCATGTTAAACAAATCTTATCATGATTGTTCAGTAAATGGTGTTGGTATGTCATCATATAAATTATTGATATTGAAGTCATTATTTCCATGGGACAAAGGCGCGAGTTTATGTATTAGCTTTCCGCCTGTGGGGTCAAAACCATAACAAATAATTCTAAACCATTCTTAGAAATCACTGTCGATTCGTGAAAACTGTACGAAAAAACGTCGGATAGGTTTTGACATTATCGCGTTCATACGGACAGGTCCATCAGGCAGATGCTAAGGAGACCTTTTTAATAATATGTAAACGTGTATACTAACTCGGCAGGTTTCTCTTCAGGTTTCTTCTCTTCAGAACCGTCGGTGATGGCAGCGCTCTGCACTGCACGCGCGAGTTCCTCCTCCTCATTCTCATCGCGCCAGGGGTTCAGGCACTCCTCATCAGTAGGCTCGTAGCCACCGTTCACAACCGAAGCACGCTATAGGAAAATAAAAAATACATTATTACAAATTACAAAACGTGCCGTGAAGAATTGAAATTTTCATCAAGTCGAAATAAGTCGTACGTAATTCGTACATATTTATTTAAAAACGTATTGTTACGATATTCGCTCAAATTTTAAGTAACATCTTACAGTATACGATTTGCTCGAGTTCGTTATACTTGTCCTACGTACGTACGTGTAATGAAGAAAGACGTTTATTAATAGGTGCTAAAGAAAAATTAATATTAGTCTTGAAAATAAAATCTGCAGTAATTATCAAACATTTTCCACTACATACCTTTTCAAACAGAGGCTTGTACAATTTTTCGTATTTGCACTCAAGCGCATGAACTTCGCTGTAGAACTTAGCCTCGATGTCGACGAACTCTTTCTGCAGAGTGCGCAGAGCACGGATGCGCCTGCGCACGTTTGGTGGCAGAGACGCCATAGCCTCGACGTGGATGCGGTTGGTGATAGCCGCTAGCATCTCGTTGCGGGTAATGCCGCTGTTGACAAAGAAATAATAACGTCAGTTTTTTATCACCACTTGGATAATACACACTGCTAAATAAAGGGCCTTTCACGTAAGGGAACGGATGCGAAACTTGTTACTATCCCCCAATTGCCAGGCGAATGGGATGGTAGTTAAGTCACAGATATGCCACTTTTTGTCTATACAACCGACATTGTTTTAATATGCAACGTCATCTATTAAAACTACATATTTGAGAACTAAATTAGGCGGCAATGACAAATTTATTGCATTATTCCAAGGTTGCCAATTATTCCGAGAAGCTACGGCATAAACTTGATATTATAGTTACAACACATAAGCAGTACATTCCAATAAACATTGGAAATCCTTGAGTTAGTTGTTTCAGAGAATCGAATTATAGTACATAGACATGGAAGAGCGTATAAATTACAAGGCTTCGTTACAGAAGGACGGAATAATAATATAAATTCTGAGAGATACAAGAAAGATAGACGTTCATATTAAATTACAAGCCAGCCAGTAATTAATTAATTCTTCGGAAAAGTCTCAAAATATCGCATCGTCGTAATACCAACAAGGCATCACGTATCGGCTTACGTACGTCACAACCTGATTTACATTTTCACGACATAAAAACACCAGACTCCTTCATCCCAGCGTAACGCGTTGATTTACAATATCGGCCCGATTACTCGGAAATAGCCATGTTGTGCAACAAAATAAACAGGCCTTGTAAACATAGGTGTATTACTTCGTAGTCGTAGCAAACAGGTGGATAAACTATTAGATTTTCAGATAATAGTTGAACTAAAGAAATATAATAGTAAAAATATAGATAGTAATAGTAAGTAGTATAATAGTAAATAAAATATAAGTAGTATAGTAGTCTCTGGACCAAGCAGGCGGACAATAAATAGTTTTTGATCCAAAATAGAGTGGTGTACCTATGTATGAAAAGCAAACATTTTGTTTCTGTCCTATTAGCTATTAACGTTGAGACACATTATTGCAAATATTGTTTTAATTGTTACCAAGAAGAACCAATTAAACTAGTAGTTTGATCATTCCGTCGTCGTGTGATCGTGTTTAATGGAGTCAGGATAAAATTAAACAGATTTATATAGTTCGCAATTTGTAGTTGCTAAGACAAGCATAGAGGCAGTTTAGCGTTTCTAGCTAATAGCTTTTCAGTGTCATTAATATCTTCAACATTCTTCAACAGAATTATATCAGAAATCAATACACGGCGAAGAATGTTTAAGTTTTTATTGAAGCTTTGATATGCACGCACCGACTTTCGATACGGTAACCATGTAATACATATGCCGATGTTTTTTCTACATTAGACATGATTGCACTTTTTGTATACATAAAAAACGACGTATTTAGCGTTACCAATAGATATTATCTCGCGGAATAAATTCGTGAGGCGGCTACTTCGTGTAAACGGAGAAATTAATTACAGATAGCAAATTAAATCTATGACTGGAGCGTGACAGTTAATTGAAATCAATCTTTGTTTTACGTTTGTTATTTAATAACACCAATATTTCCGCATGATTAAAGATAATTTACAAAGTTGTGTTTCTGTGTAAATTATACAGGGCAAAACTTTATAATTATATTAGTCTTCTATCTCAAACTAACTTCAGTTTGGAATACAGGTGAAATAAAAACGGTTATTCTTTCATATAACCATTATATCGCAACGTGAAGAACCGGAGAGCAGGGAAGAACCAGTTTTTTGCATATTCATGACGCAGTAGCTACATACAATATCGAGTTGGCTTCCTGCGTACACAGTTACGGTCCGAGTTTAAGGTGGGTCGAGCTTCCGTTGTCAGCTCAAAAATCAGTTCGAAGATACATTTCGCGAATTTAAGTCTGGATATTTTTTGGACGAAAATTTAATTTACTCGTTTAAGACGTACTTAATTATTTTTTTAAACTCTATCGAGCAACAGGTGATACAATTTTGTATTATTTTATTTTAAGGATTTTACGGCAAAACTAATACCAGCAAAACGAGTTCAATTGCGCATTTCATATTTAAATGCTTAATTTAGCCAAATTTTAAGACGCCATTTGTGACGACAGACGTGCTAAAGGCGCAATTCGCGCTAGTATGCTTGTACTTAGACGATTTGATTCTTGGCGATAAAGTACAAAGGGTACTTGACTATTAACAGAGTAATTTACTATAGACAATTAAGTCCTATAATGGAAAGCGGTGAATACAGAAGGGGTGCGAAATTGGCAAGCTAATCACATTTCTAAAGCCAAGAAATTATTCCAACAATATGACTTTGAATTGACTGTAACAATAGATTTTTTATGAGTGCCGGTATGTATAGACACAATCAATTCTTATTTTATAAAAGGAAGGCTAATCGATTTTTTTTTAAATGAGCGACCGCACTAACTTTTTTGTTAAAGAGTACCTAGACTTAAGTAACCTGCTGAATCATTGGTACTATTAATGGCAGGCATTTTCCGTAACTTTTTTAAAATTTTAACCAGTTTAAAATCCATTCGAATTTTTGTCTCCGTCAAAATGCACACAAGACACATATGACCTAGTCTTATATTTTTTTAAACGTAGAGAAATTGAAACAAATTTATGCAAATAAAGCCTTTTGGGTGAATTCCTTCTTTGGTTTCTTAATGCAAAGATATTTTGACAACATGTTTCAAACTTGGATGAATGTCGAATGTAAACGATTATCGATATTACGTCCGCAGTTCTACCATTGGAGCATCGGGTTTCGTACAACACGCATATAGTAATTTGCTGGATTTTTTACGTTCATAAATTGCATTTACACTTATATTCATGGTTGGCTAAACGTTGCAGCACTGTGTGATTATAAATTCCGTCAGCTAGATACGTTTATTGGTTAAGTAGAGCGTAAAATGACTCATTCGTTCATTGACCCGTAATCTCATCTTGACGACTCGCGCGTTTTTGTAAATGCTCTTATGCAGCAGACTCAAGTCTTTAGATGTATGTTTAAGATATCGAATAGAAATTCGCCGCTGAAAATGCTTGCATTGCAAAAATTTGTGCAAAATAAATATGAAATTTAAAGACGAACTTACGTTCTCACGATCTCAGTCTAAAGATTTTGGGTCTCGAGTTTCAGTAAAAAACTTCGATCAGAATCAAAGGTTTAGGGTCAAAACCAGAAATAAATTTCGAGTGTTAGTGTAGTCTTGCGGTCATCGTCATAGGAGCGACAGACCTTGCGATTTCGGTTTCGGTATTTGTTACATTGCCCTAATAATTTGAGATTTGTTTGCAAGACTTTCAGTCAAGGTATCCAGCTTGGAATTCAGCCAATGTTGACAATTAAACTGGAGTGTTCTATAAACTAAACAATTGTACTATTTATCCCTTTTATAAAACTCCATATAATCTCTATCTATGTCGAGGACTATAGGAGTTAAAACTAAAATTATTACAATTGATGTTCAAAATGAGTTGAATCAACCAATGGACTGTTGAAACATTTTATAATGTGGTACCCAGGAAGTGAATCATCTCAAATGAATTTAGGAGCTTTATGTGAGCAATATGATGTAATCATTTTAATAGGGAATTATCTATTATAGGGCTAGGAATGTTTATTTAATGATTGTGTAATTCTGAGGGAATGTTAATAATTATTTTTAGCAGTTCTAGAATTTTTCAACGAGATGTTTCAGTAGTTTACAGGTCTGTTATTTGAAAATAAGTTCTATTGGAGAATACTTGTGACACATCCATATGAAATGTTATAGTTAAACTAACAATAACTTAGGTCCTCAGTAATAGTGAAACAGGCTATAAATTAATAAGTTACCCGTATATCCCCCAGCGGTCACCGGTGACCACTCTCCACTAACTACATTATAGACCTTATTTCCAATGTTTAGAGATTACTTTTGTATGAACAAATTTAGGAGATGATTTTCAACGGGTTTATATGTTAATTTAGTCCCACAGCCACACCAATTAAATATTACTTAGCTTCATTTTGTCATGAATTTGTCATTGAATAATTATACTTTTTTTTATGTCATTGTGTGATCCCTACAAATTTATATAGTTACTGCTCTACATTGTGTCCTAATTATGTCTACCACCTAAGTCAAAGATATAAAGTATGGAAACAAATTGCACAACATTATACTCGTAACTCCTTGAATTTTGGAGATTTGAAATTTAATTATGGAATAGTGAAATTAAAATAGATTCTTTGTTCTTCAGTGTTAGCATGGTCAATGTATTAACTTTCTTTTCTACAGATAAGATTTTGTGGTCAGGGAGGTCCTTAGTAGCATTTTCAAAGGACTCATGATCCCATATCAAGTCACAAAAAATACTTTCAAGCTTAAAGAAATACATCTACCTACAATTAGATAAAATAAAGCATGGGACATGCTTTAACCTGTATTGTCAAAATAAAATTCGTGCATCTTCTAAAATATTAATTATCTCCGCGAATTCAAATAAATGAAATAACTGTTTATAATGTAAATAACCAAATGAGATCAAATTGATGAACTGTAAAATAGTAACAATTTCTTTGTTGAATGAAAGGAGTACTTATGTCAACATGTGGCTGACAATGACAAGTAGTGAGGCTAAATGCAGGACTAACCTAAGTAAGTATACACGCTTTTACTGACCTTTTCATGAGGTGCTGAGCCAGCTCGCCACCCCCTACAATTTCCTCCTCCTCTCCGGACTCCACCTCGGAAGTGTGGTCATCACCAGCGCGTTCCACTGTACCCATGTTTATATCTAAAACAAGAACACCATGTTAGCACAATGCCGTTCGCGCCACGTTGGTTACATTACCGGCTTCCGACAAATACTTTTACAATCAGTATCTCAACGCTACACTGTCCCGCCAAATAGCATATATCTACTCAAATAACGTATCTAACAAGCATACAACATTATTTTCTATGTAAAACATAATGCGTAGTTCGTTGAAAAACCATTCGGGCCGACCACATGGCCGACTTTGTTCTTGCACAATTTAGAAAACTATTACCTTTTACGCAATACTGATAGATTTTCAAAGGAAATTGTATAGCGTTATGTAGATTTTTATTATCACTATTACGTTTTATTTAGCGAAATATTTCAATTTTACAACGTACCTTACTGCCGACAAAAGTTGTGAAAAGAAAGATGGCGACGGAATACGGCGAATGAGTGACCACAGTGACTTGAAATGTCGGTGCCGGCGAATGAATTAAAGAATGAATGGCTCGGAATGAAACTGGCAAGTTTACCGTTTCCGGATTTCTTTTTTGTACGTCGAAATAAATTTTCAAAGATGCGAAAGGCAAATGAGTGGGGCATCAAATTTAACTCTTGCTAATGGTTTCAATTTTCAGTTTTCTTACTTTATTTCTGTAAAATGCCACCAATATTATAAGACAAAAGTGTAAAATTTTTGGTTAATGTTGCTATGCTAGTTTTTTTTCATGAACTTTTTGTCCTGTGTCAACTTCATAGTTTACTTCATTCATTCATTCAGTCACTGTCAAATATTATAAGACTGTCAACTGTCAGAAGTCAATTTGTCATATACATCATCACGGGAAAATAACTGTTGCGTTGTTTTTGGTTTGTGGCTTGTGGCCAGTTGTGGCAGTGGTAATTTCAAGGGAAAGCGCAGTTTTGTAGTGAAAATGTGTAGTGTAGATTAATATTTGTACAATAAATATCTTTATGACATGTTTTGAATAAGAAGTGAACTATTAAACTGAAAAATGCCACCTACCGTACAAACAAATGAGCCGGAAAGAGACAAACGTCCACAACGGACAGGCGAAAGGAGGTTAGTATATTTTCATTTCAACCTTACAAAGAGGACTTATAGTTATATTAATCGTAATAATGTTAAATTATTTATAGATCGGAGCTAGTGACACGTGTAAAATACTGCAATACCCTCCCAGACATACCTTTTGACTTAAAGTTTATCACGTATCCATTTTCATCAACAAGATTCATACAATATAATCCGACCTCCTTGGAAAAGAATTATCGATATGAAGTACTTACGGAGCATGACTTGGGTGTGCACATTGACCTGATAAACCGGGACATATATCAAGGAGACGGCAATGCTGTACTGGATCCCGCTGACGAGAAACTATTGGAAGATGACATCCTCACTCCTCAGGATTCGAAGAGGTCGCGACATCATGCTAAGAACGTATCATGGTTGCGTCGCTCCGAGTATATCTCTACTGAGCAGACTAGGTTCCAGCCTCAATCTATGGAGAAGGTATGTTTTTTATTCTTGTTCATATAACCTGTTTTTGTACAATGATGATGTATTTAGTATTTTACACTAAACGGCTCACAATACCCATCCAGCTAGCTTCTTATTGAATGTATCACTTGTAAAACTATTCAAGTTGTTTGTTAACCATCAAACTTGTACTTGCAGTTATTATCTTAACAGACAAATTGGAATTCAAAATCCAACTTCCTATAATAAACAAATATGTTTAATCACAACAGGTTGAAGCGAAAGTCGGTTACAATGTCAAGAAGATCTTCAGTGAAGAAACGCTGTACATGGACCGCGAGAGTCAAATCAAAGCTATTGAGAAGACATTTGAGGACAACAAGAAGCCTATAGAGAAACATTATAGTAAGCCAGGAGTTACTCCAGTGGAAATTATGGAAGTATTCCCTGACTTCGATATGTGGAAGTATCCTTGTGCTCAGGTCATATTTGACTCAGACCCTGCGCCTGCTGACAAAAACATTGCTGGACAGATCGAGGCCATGTCTCAGGCTATGATTCGGTGAGTGGTTTTGTTCTTGTTATCTTGTAATGTGATTTTCTGATTCAGTTAGAGATTTGATTGCTAAAATGTTAATTGAGGATACTATGAGTATTGCTACAATTTAACTGATAGATTGAAGTTTATTTCACGTTTTTAAGCCATTTTGTGTCTTTCATACGAAGTTGTACTGTTTAAATTTGTCAGCATATAAAACTACCATATGTTATTATAAATTTTTGTCATATTTTTGTTCTAGAGGTGTGATGGATGAAAGCGGAGAGCAATTTGTGGCCTATTGCTTACCCACTGAGGAAACAATACAGAAACGTCGCCGTGATATTGCTGAGAACATGCTCTACATGGACGGTGACACATATGAGTACAAAATGGCTAGAGAGTACAACTGGAACGTCAAGAGTAAAGCTTCTAAGGGTTACGAGGAGAACTATTTCTTGGTAAGTCTATATCTTTACATTTTGTTTTAATAAAAATATTGATCATGACTGGGGTTTTGTCTGATATAGTAAGGACTTTTATAAACACAATCCAGAAACTGCAATTTGTGGATTGTTGTGGATTTAAATCCACAACCCAAGATAGCCCTAGCCCAAAATAGCCCAGCAACCATATTCCTAGCCAATGCACTAACCATAGTCTTATATACTAAAATTTTTAACTTGAAGATTATGTATAGTATGCATTAAACTGTTAAACACCAAGCGGTCACCGGTGACCGCAACCTATTGTTCTATAACTGTGTCTACAAAACCGGTACTCGACGAGTTAATAGGTGAACTCAATTCCACAAGTATTAAGAGTAATTTTTTTTTGATAAATTAACAAATTTCTTTGACAGGTTATCCGCAACCATTGTGTCTACTATAACGAGTTGGAGACCCGCGTACGCCTGTCCAAGCGGCGCGCTCGCGCCGGTGTGGCTGCGCAGGCGCTGACTCGCTTGGTCGTCACACATCGACCGCTTAGCGCACCGGAACATCGCATGCTTAGGTTGCGAGAGAAACAACTTGAGCCGCCACAAGTGAGTTTTTATTATCTTATTGCTACAAAAATAAGTGTCGATTTTAACTGCTTTCATTACAGTACAGATGTTGTATTAGTATTTCATTGATTTTCAACTTTATTGTAAATCGAGAGAGTCTGTATTTCATCTTAAGAGTGCCGGCATTCTCCAAAAGTGGACGCCCCATTAGACAGACTGTCTGCTTTTTACTTTCTTCTAAAATTGTGATAACTGATCACATGTGATGATTTTTACCTTTGTGAAAGTCAATTAACAACTCAAAATAAAAACAAACGCATTGAGTAAGATGATTTAATTTTAGGAGGAAGACGAAGAAGAGGAGGAAGATGATGACGATGATGAAGAGGATAAGCAGGAACAAAACGGAGAGAAGGAGAGGTATGTAGATGCTTTCACACAAAACCTATTGAATGAATCTGAATATTGGCATAATTTGATAAAGACAGATATCTTGAATTATACATTAAGCGCCTACTTTTTATCCCGATAACATTGACAGAAGTTAAGCTAAATTATAACAAGCATAAAGCCTTATATTTAACCCCAAAAGTAGTAAAAAAATCTCTTTCGTTTTCAGATCACGATCCCGTTCGAAATCTGGATCAAAATCGCCTCAAGGATCAGATCGGTCTAAAGCTTCAAAATCAAGATCAAGGTCTGGATCACGAGATCGCTCCCGCTCGAGATCCAAATCCAAATCAAAATCCAGAAGTCGTTCTCGTTCTGGATCCGGTTCCAGAAAGTCCAGATCACGTTCTGGGTCTGCACGTTCGGGGTCTGCGAGGTAAGAATCTAAACTTTCTACTATATAACATTCTAACTCGTTGAGTACTGTCTTTAAAGACACAATTAAAGAACAATAGGTTGCAGTCACCGGTGACCGCTTGGTGTTTGACAGTTTAATGACCTCTAAGAAGTTATTTATTAAAAGAACATAGTTCCCATCCTGATTGATCCATTTAAAAATTCATCAAATTATCATTCGGTCATTTCCAGATCCGGTTCAGCTCAATCTCGTTCCCGCTCCCGCTCTCGTTCTCGATCTCGTTCAAAGTCTGGTTCCCGCGCATCATCGCGAGCGTCTTCCCGCGCGAGCTCTAGGAGTGGAAAGGGATCTCGTGCCAGTTCTGCAAGTGGAAGGGGCTCCAGGGCCAGCTCTAAAGCCAGTGGCAATGTAAGTCTTCATTTGAATATATAATCCAGTCTGTTTGCCAGTGGAAAAGTCAATTATAAACTCGAAAATAAGTAATTGTAAGTTTGATTTTGATAAACATAAACACTACTGTATTGATGCAAAAGTTATGAGCGTTTTTGGTTCACCAAAAAACTGCTTTAAACGAAATTATTCACATTTAAAGATAGACAGAGCTGAATAACTGTCAAAATTAATAAACAATATTAATCCAAACTCCAAATCTCGACTTATGACAGAACCTCCATAAAACTAATATCAAAATTTTATTCTATTCCACCAAACACATCAAACAATGGATAATAAAGTTATCAATTACTTCCCTAGGGTTCAAGAGCAAGTTCCAGGGCAAGTTCACGTGCCTCATCTCGGGCAAGCAAACGATCCTCGCGAGCATCCTCGAGAGGATCCCGTGCCTCATCCAAGTCTAAAGCTTCAGGCTCCAAGGCATCTTCTCGGGCAAGTTCTAGAAGAAACTCTGGCTCTGGAAGTGGATCAGACAGGTCAAGAAGTAGATCTGGAAGTGGATCTAGGAAGGTAAGAATTAAAGATACTTTGAATAAAAGAGCATACTACTTCTTTTTAAAAAGATGACAATGTTTTCTTGACTGGGCTGATTGGTCATTGGTAGGTTCAAACTCAAACTAATAATTTGGTTTAGAATCTTCATCCTTAGCCATTGTTGTTTAGGTCTATATTACGATGTTTAATTGCAATGTTTTGTAAAGGGTTTAAATAGGTTTTTCAAGGGTCGGCAAGGCGCATGTAATGCCCCAAGTATTGCAAGCGCACATAGGCTACGGTAACCGCTTACCATCAGGTGGGTCATGTGATTTTTTACCACCGTCGTGGTATAAAAAAAATACGCATCTCAGAAGTTATCATTTGTTTCTTTAAAGTGCCTGTATCTTACAATTTCTCAAACTCAAACATTATTTAAATATTATATTTTTCATTTGCTTCAGGGTTCCCGAAGCCGTAGTGGATCGGCGTCTAGTGGATCATCACGACACAGCGGCTCTGACTAAACTGACAATTAATTACATCAACATTTATAGTAAGGGTATCTGCGCAAATATATGGAGGTCTATTCGAGTGACGTAAATTGGTACATAGACTTCTAGCATTTTTCACTTATCGGCAGATGATTTAGCCCTTTCTATATCATTATCTGTGGTTTACTGTTGGACATAAGCGTCTTCTTTGGCGCACAACATACTTCTTTTTAAGGCGGTGGGAAACCTTCATAAAGCCCCTTGCTTTTTGGGGAGAAAGCCTAGGGAGTGTGGCATTCGTACCTCACTAAAACCACCCCGGTGGCCACCCTCAGTACCTGTAAGGGGCATCGGATCCTCTGAAAGAGACCTGCTCCGCAGTCCCCATCCCCATGATGCAACGCCTCCAACGGCACATTATTCGGGATAACATACGTCTTGATATACTGTCTCTAAAATATACGACCCTCGAGTAAATCTCCATTTATTATCGTGGGCTACCTACTACTAAAATTGTGTTCACTATTATTGAATGTTTGGCTTCAATCCGAAACCTCGTATAGAATAAATTCAATAAATATTATAAAAAATTTGGTATTTTTTTTATAAGTTTATAACTATTTTTGCGCATTACATCTCTAGTTTGCGCAAGTGAAAATTATTTTCTTTCCTTACCCAGTAACTTCGTCTATATCAATTACTTACAATGGGGGCTACCGTTTCTTGCTTACCACATGACGTTAATCCAGCATGAAGTATTTTTGTCCGATCGCTGTAGCTGTCAAAAATAAAACATCCAATGGCTAATTCCCTTTTTTTTTAAACATTGTTGCCCCACTCTAATATTTTCTCATGTGTCGTGGGTGCGTTTACAGACAAATAAGTTTACATACACATAAGACCCAAACCCCGGAACAACAATCTATGGATCACACAAAGAGTTGTTCCGTGCGGGAATCCAACCCACGATACGTTGCGCAGCAGCCAGTTACCTAGCCCTCGCACCAACCGTGCAGTCGAAGGACAAAAGGTCCACACTATTAGTGGTCCCTATTAAAATAAGCCAAGTAATTATTTTCAAAATTCTTATCCACAAAGTTGTTCAGGTTCGAACAGACAGAATTGATGTGTAATTTGAATTTATAGTAGATAATTAGGTAAGAAAACAAAATACAATTTTTATAAATATTTTATTAGTGCAACATTCACTTGATTACATAAAAATAGAAGGAAGAAACATTGTTACGTAATGTTTATATTTGGAGTCATCTGTATAAAATTGTCACACATTTTTATTTTATATATAAACGAAAATAATTTTGTATTTCATCAATGTGGTAAAAAATTACTTTTGATAGTAACAAAATTGGTTGTTCATAAGTTATGTGAATAAAGTTAGATTAATTCATAGATGGAAGAATATCCCAAGCAATAGCTACAACAATGTTAGTCAAATTATACTAAGCAATCTCACTAGTAAAAACGCATTGTAATAAATAATACCTACAAATAATGTTGGAAATCTTACTTTCAAATGCACACTTAAAAACACAAATTTTAAAATAATTTTAGCCTAAACTTGTATTATAAAAATGCTAAATAGTAGAAATGAGGAAGATTCCGATTTGACACGTAAGTTCAAATGCATAAGATCAAAATTTGCTTAGGAAGTTAAAACCATTGAACAGTACCTATATATAAAATAAAATATGCCAATAAGTGACATTTTCAATTGTATAAAAAACTTCTTATTATTTTGCAGTCTTTTATTCCTAAAATCAAATAAAGAGATTTTGGCATTTTCATTTTGTGGTATTTCATTTTTCACCATCATTATGTTCACAGCTGAACATATGTAGTTATCTCTCAATGGCTTATAAGTATATCGGACAGTTGGAAGCGACATGCATCTAGCGGCCATCTTGCAATCTTTATTAGCTGACCTTCCTGAATTTTCATTTAAAACACATGTGATTATATAAATTGTTATTATGTACTTGATATTATTAACTGCGTTCTACGCTTCTAAAGAGGTTATATAATATGAATGCTTAGCTTTATAAATAGGGGTTTTAGGTAAAGGCACCAGTGTTCACTACACGAACATTGCTGAAATGGTCGGGTAAAGGTGCTCCCTCACCGGGAGCATTCGCGTGTAATGTAACGTTACAGATCTGAGCATTACATCAGTGAAGGAGGGGAACCGAGCATTACAATGCGCACCTTGTAATGATACAATGTGTAATATCTTGATACAACTTGTAACATCAATGTCTGACATCTTGCTATGAAATGCTCAAAGTCGAATCTATATATTCCATTACACGCAAATGCTCGTTAGTCGGAGGTATTATTGTAATGTAATGCTCAAAGTCGAATCTATAATGTTACATTACACGTAAATGCTCCCGGTGAGGGAACACCTTTATAATTGTATTGAACTATTATGACTATTTTAAAATGCAAACTAACTCAACTGCGTTGTTCAGATAGGTACTCGAAGTATCTTTTCGATAGAAGAGTGCATAAAGGTTAAATTTAACATTTGGATAACAACATAATATAGAACAATGGCTACCTAGTTATTGCTTACAAGTCAATTTTAATAATATTATATTGAAAAAGTTACACAATGTAAATATTATACTTTATTAACTTTTTAATTTATTTCATTTTTTTAACAATATGAATGTGTTAAGCACCAATTGACTAGGCTAATAAGATTATTAAAATATTATCTTTTTATGAACTGAATATATTATATATTGTAATATGTTATTTAGGCGGATAACATTAATTATTATTTGTTTTGTATAATATTGTAATGGTTGTCTTTTTTAAAACTGAATTAATTTTGATTATAAAAAGTAAGGAATGGATATCACGGAACTGGTTACAATTTTGTAAACTTATGGTCTTTATGTTTTATATGGGCAGTTCACTTTTCTGAGGTTAATATTACTAATAAAATACTGTTAAGAGTTAAAGAACATTATCCCGTACAAAATATTAGGAAACATGTTACGTTTAGTTAAAATGCATACAATTGGAAAACATCGATCGAATTGGTACATCACTCACAATCAATTATATTTGTTGCCAGTCTAAAATATTTCATTCTACCAATTTTAGAAGAATTTTTGTTTTTGTAAAAAATACCTTTGTCACTGAATTTTTTAACGGAAATCGATTTAAAATTATTGTACTAACTACAATAGAAAGGTTTCGTGAAGTAATCGTTGATCTAATAGGGATGATGACGAGGCACAAATAAGAATAAACCTACCTTGTTCGTTAGCAATGTAATAAAAATATTAAGCACATATACTTGGCTCATGTAATTCATTAAACACTATGGTTATGAAGCGCGTTTAAGGGTTAAATTATAGCTTAGTATAAAATGCACGAGGGTGTGACGTCAGCCCATATCGACTCGATTTTTTATTATTTCCTTGGTTGTGTACTTTTTCGTCTCGTCACAAGACATTGACAAAAACCGTTTTTATTATTTTTTTTTTGAAGGGTGGAAAATCATCGAATGACTGCTCTCGCCTGGGTGAGGCGAGAGGGAATGTCAGCCTCTTACTGACTAAAAACCACCCCGTTCCTACTCCTGCTCTTCCTCTCCCGGCAAACCGTTAAGTCCTCCGCGGCTCCGTATCGGCTTCAGCCCTATTAGGCCCCATCCGTGGTGGTCTGATGGCTCTTTGAGACGCGCGCGGAACGCGACGCGCCGTACGCTCGGGTCTGGTTCTGGTCGGGCGGCGAACCACCCATGCTCGCCGTCCGCAGACCCGCGATTACGGAGGCCGGAGATCGTCTTGCGATCCCCGACGCCCGAAGTGTCCTTTGCTGACAAAACCGGTATAGGCTCAATAAGGTACTGATATCGTCATCATCCCTACTCGAAAATTATTATTATTAAAACATCATAATAACATTAGTCTACATACAAATACAGATAAAGCTTAGTTTCTACTGAGTTCTTCAGACACAATGTCCATGTAATGTGAAGTGAAGACGGCCTTGTTGTGCATTACGTAGCGGAGTAGTGTTCCTGACACTGACGTCAGCTCTCTGGCTAGAGCTGAAAGCCCTACAGGGATCTGACGAGACCCTCCACCGCAGACAAGGATGGTTTTTAGAAACTCCAGGACGCGCTGACCTGTGGAGTTTATAAGAGATATTTTATGAGTTAAAGATATCTTTTAGAGAAAACTGTGTGCAGTCGTATATTAATAGATTTCCAACTTTATTAAAAAGGATAAGGTCGAAAATCGATCGAGACAGCTGTTACATTGTAATTTGGTGCTGACTGAAAATGTAGTAATTGTATAAACTTCAATATGACCTTATCTACCTTAAATACCTGTATCTCAAGACTAATCAGGGTTTCGACCTGTTAACCTAAAAAAAGTATTACAGAAAGTTTAAAATGAATAGATACTTACGAACAATCTCCCGAACTCTATGCTCAGGGTCTCCGAGCGATAGGATCTGTGTCCTGATGATCTCCTTGGTCTCACCCGTCAGTGGAGACTGATTGAGGTTCTCCAGAAGCTGTTCCGTCACCTGGATAATTTCTTCAGCCAATGATGGTAGCACTTGTTTTAGTTCTCTGTAATATACACGCAGTAGTAGGTTACTGTATTATCATTCTTTTTATTGCTGTAAGCTTTTGGACGTAGCTATTAAATAACTATTTTATTGTAGCGAACCTTTAAACAGGGCTATGTGCAGTATAGTGGATAAAACTGATTTTTAACAGAATCTACAATTCCTTTTAATAAATGAAAAATAAATTCAGTAAAACCTTGTTGCTGATTTTACTAAATACTTATGTTTTTAATGGTGATTTTGTTTCGATGATCGGTTCAGCCTATTGCGAGATAATAGCGGACAAACATACAGACATATAGCGCTCATTGATTATAGCTAAATATAAAAAGCTTTAATGAATACTCACATATCATTGGTAGTATTATCAATGAGGATCAGTATCTTTTCCTTCAGAGCCTGTTTATGCGCGGCGGCAGCAGTCTGGTCGCTGCCACAGGCTGGACTGGCCAGCATCAGGGACGCGACGCATATCAGTCGGTACACCTGGGTACCGAGCTCAGCGAAACGAGGCGCGTCCAGTGCTACTGTCTATATCAGAACAGGGTGTATGAAGTAAGTTGGTTGAGTAAAATAACTCCGTGTGGTCACGGTGATGACTGTTGACAAACTAGAACATATTTGTCATCAGAAGAGATGTTATATTAGGGTTATTTTTAGGTAATCATATTATTGAATATATCAGTTAAAGGATATTATGATACCATACCTATTACTGGATATTAGTCAAATATTAGTGAACAGATTCTAGCTACTCAATCTAATATTGATACCTATTTTTATTCTCTGAATATGAAACCAATGGTATTATAACTTATAATTATATATAGGCTTAACGGGTTGCCGGGGCTCCGGTTCGAAGTGCATGAGAAGGAACGGGGTGGTTTTTAGTCAGTAAGAGTCTGACACTCCCTCTCGCCTCACTCAGGCGGGAGAAGCCATTGGATGATTTTCTCCCCCTTAAAAAAAGCCATATTTTATTTACCTCAGGATAACTTTTAGAAGAGTCCCACTCGAGTAGTTCAAGGTAAGCCTTCGCTAACGTCTGAGCTGTGACATTCCTGATGACGACCTTGTCTGTGACTGGTAGAGTCAAACCTTCGAGATCTATGTGACGTTTCAACCATTCCTTTGTGTGTTGGAGACCATCTAAAATTGGAAATTGTACATTATTCCAAACCATCATTGCTTCACTACAACAGATAACAAATACTTTACTTTAACAAATAGTTTATGGCATGAAAATTAATCCTAGTTTTTTGATATACTTAAAGTATAGAGATAGCTGATCCAAACTGTTCTACAGCTAACTAAAAACCCAGTATTGCCAGTAAAAAATCTATTTAACTACTTTACCTTCAGACACTTTGAGCATCTCGTCAAACTTGGCGCGCTCATACTGGACGCTCTCCTGTTGTACATGTGGTCTGATCATAGCTATCAATGTATTTGCTAAATCTAGTTTTAAGATTTCTAGAGTCTCTAGTATCGCTCGGAAGACATCCACCTGCGAAATAAATAAAGAAATATGAAGAAGAAATGTTTGGTATATGGTGTTAGCCAGATTATTTCTTGGTTATATCTTGTTTTGGGTGAATTAATAAGTATTTATTTAATGAAACATTCTCAAATACTCGATATGTATATAATACTGTATTCAAATAAAAAATAGCCAAACTATTTTTTATTTGAATACAGTATGTAAGAGAATTGTGTACATCTAAAAAGTATATAATTAGAATGTAAAGAAACAAAAAGCAACATAATAGTAAACAAATGGCAACACTAGACTGACTCTGTCAGTATTGCCATCATAAAAAAATACTCACAGTATCAGAAAGTTTAGTAATGTTCTGTATCATCTCATCTCTAGCCGGGGCAGCTAACTTAGCCATCAGGTCGATCACAAAGCTAGCATACTTATGGAAGTCTAAACTATTGTTCTCCGCTTGTTGCTGAATAAATTCTGCATCTAGGACTTCTTCGATCATCTCTCTAATACGGGTGTGACGGGGAAGTAGGATTGAGAATAGACCCTGAAAGTAAAGGACTAAGGTTTAGTTTTGAGTGATGAGGGGGCAAAGCCTTACATTTCTAAGCATGCTACTTAATATAAACTCTTCAATGTATTAAAACCTAACAAGTAATCAAGAATGAGCAAAAAAATGCAATCTGTGGTAATTAAATACTGTTGAGAATAAACAGAGCATGAAATAATTAAAAACATTACATTACAATTACATAAGTCGGCATGTTTCATAAAATATTGTTTTCAATCACCGTTTCATGTTTAACTGTGCATTTTAACAGTTAGGTATTGTGAATTTGTTGCAAAATTCAAATAAAAAGGACTAACTTCTAATTAAAAAAAACTTTGCGCCACATTAGGATTTTATCCTGTGTCGTGGGCGCGTTTACAAACATACAAGTTCACATATACATGACATCCAGACCCGGAACAACAATTTTTGGATCACAGTGTTATTCCGTGCGGGAATCCGACCCGCGACACGTTGTGCAGCGGCCAGTTACCCAGCCCTCGTACTAAGCGTGCAGTCGTTTTGTCTTTTTGTTCCGTTCGGGAATCAAACCCGCGATATGTAGCGCCGGCGCGTTGGCAGCCGGTTGACTAGCCCGGTGGCTAGTCAACCGGCTGCCAACCTGCCTGTTGGTGCGGTCACCAACCGCGCAGTCAAATATGAAAGTGAGCCAAGTCAATCTGTTCAAAGTAAAGTCATCTATTTAATTACTAACCTGTTTAACATCTTCTAATAGTACAAGAGCCTGCTTGTATTCCGGCGGGTCAGAGTTGAGCTGCTCTCTTAGTATATCAAAATAAGCTTTATGCATTGTCTCTTTGACTAATTTCTGGTAGCTGTAAAACACAAAAAAAAAATGATAGAAAGAACAAAGAGTCTATAGTTTTGGTAACTGTAGATTACGGCCACTTTGTTTGTGTGATCACAAGCCTTTACATCTGATTCTAGATTTATAATAAGTATTCTTGGGTTTGTCATTTTCTTAATTTCTCTTTAGTACCACAGCATTTCTTTTTTATGGCATGAGCCGGTAAATGAGCAGACGGATCACCTGATGGTAAGCAATCGGCGTCGCCCATGGACACCTAGAACACCAGAGGTGTTACAAGTGCGTTACCGGCCTTTTGGAGATTGTGTTTGAGATGTGTGATTGGGATTCAGGGAAGGGTAACTGGGCCTCCGGCCTCCTCCATTGTCATCTACCATTAACTTTAAAATTATAATAAATACTTATATACTTTATTTATACATATATTATACATATTATATATACTTTATTTATGTGAAGACTAGCTACTTCCGCGCGGCTTCACCCGCTTTGCTCGGCTCTTATTGACCGTAGCGTGATATATTATAGCCTGTAGCCTTCCTTGTTAAATGGACTATCCAGCACAAAGAGAATTTTTCAAATCATTCCAGTAGTTCCTGAGATTAGTTCAACAAACAAAGAAACAAACTTTATATAATAGTATATAAGTTAAGAGTATAAGGAAGTTACTGTCTAGGCTTGTCTTCCATGATCACACATAAAGAGGAAGTACATAGTAGGTAATCTAAGTCATCTAAGGTCAAGATTACTCATAAGTGGTAGAGTTTATTACACACTGAACTGTTTACTTCATAAAATGGAAACCAAGAACCGTTGCTCAACAGCCACTCTTGCGACTCTTGTCAAATCAACAAAGGAGCCTTATGTAATAGGATTCTTAAAGTGAGTAAAGGATATAAAATTTTACCTATTGTCTGGTGGTTCAAAAGGTTCCAGCTTAAAATCCTGGTCAACAGCAATCTCATGAGCTAGAGCCATGTTCTGCATACCATGGGCTGCCTTCATGATGTCTTCCAGGGTCACAAACTTGGGTGGAGAGGCACCAGTAATTGTAGAACCTCTTACTCTGAACTGTATCGGTTCACTGGCATAGTAACTATGGAGATAATATTATTGATTAAATACTCTTTAGAGTTTTGTTTTGTTTAAAATGCCTGGCAACTTGTCAATGGTAAGTTGTGTTGTCTATGGTTTTGTTTAAAATCTAGTTAGAATTCTAATGTTATGAGTATATGAACCAAAATGTAATACTTCTTTTTATTTTTTAAATTTAATGTTTCAATTCTTTTGTTTATCATTATCATTCATCATCTGTTGATTTCTTTAACATTTACATAACTATGTGATCTGGTTAACACTTTAACAGTAAGTCTTTGGTAGATTAAGGGCCGAACTTTTCAATGCCAGATAAATTTTAACTGAGGAATACTTCCATACTTAAACATTTGAATCGTCAATTTTATTCTCCAGAATTAACTGATGATTGAAAAACCGGCCGAAATGTGATTTAACATTTTTTTAAATAAATCTCTTGTATATATAATACAGGGAAAAAATGGAAAATGCTCATTTAGAAAAGTCTGATTGATATTAGTTACTTGCTAATTTTGTATTTAATCACTCATTTAAGTTAACAACACAGTTAACTTCAGAAGGCTTTTTAAATATGTATAACTAAAACAAAGGAACAAAGAAGTACAATTTGTTTAGATTCTAAACTACATAGTTTATTTGTTTAGTATTCATAATAAGAATAATCCTTAAAAGACTAATAAAATAAAGTAATAAGATTTTTGGTCATTAAATTAATAACTTTGTGCAATAAAAGTTAGCAATATTATCATAGATAATAAAGAATCGCATGGCATGTAAACAATGAACCTAGAACATTAATATTAGAGACTCTATTTTTGTGAATGAGTCATACAATTGACCTAAATAATGTTATTATTTAGACTGAAATATCTATGATATGTAAACAGATATTTTTATATCTCACAATTTATTTTGATACCTACTTGTTTACATTTTAATTGCGATTAGGACCAAAATGCCAGAAGAAGAAAGAATCTCGTTTAGTTATTATAAACATTAACTCCCAAGTCTGTTTTAGTGGGTTTTTTTCTTATTAGACACTCATTGTTCATAGTTCTTACAGATAACAGGATATAAACAAAGTAAGGTTAGTAAGATATAAAAATAGAATGACTAGATTTACATACCTTGAGCCAGTGGGCATAGGTTGGGCAGAAGACCGAGTATTCCTCTCTCCTTTGTCGGATCCCTGCGAACCCGAACCGCTTGGTCCCTCACGATCACCCATCGCGAAAACTTAATACAAACTGACTGAGGTAAAGTCAGTAATCTCTACCTCCCATATAAGGCCACCTACTTAAAGGCACAGCTTGAAAATGGTCAAATCATTGAACACAATCACCTTGAGTCATAACAACACATAACCTAACTTTTATCACAAAGTAATCACAATATTTCCCTTTTTCTACAAGAATATTTTAAACGAAAACTACGCTTTAACCTTTTTATTAGTAGTTGTGATTATTTTGTAGGACTTTTTGCGATGTTTTCGTTTATTTTTTACGAAATTCAACAGATGTTTTCATTTACTTGTCAATTTGGTCGTTGTCAAAACTTTTTTAAAACGTTTCGTTTCTCGTGACTTGGACGCATAAACAGCCTTAAGTTTTATTCTATTCATTCTTTCGTAATATAATAAAAAATATTTGAGTATTATTTAAATGATTTTAATTGGTCGTGATGTGGGAAAAGTAGGGACAAAATGGGTTCATAAACTTTTTCCAATAAGAAATGACTGTGCTCCTAATCACTAATTTTCTTCTTGTTTTTCTCATGGCAGGAAGATTTTACCAGATATCAGTTCTATTAAAATTAAAGCAATATGTAAGGTGGCAGCCTAGCTACGATAGTGTAGGTTTGCAACTTGACTAAGCTGGTTATTATAAGCAGTTTCTCACATTGACTCATGGGATCAATAACGCATTTGTGATGTAAATGTTGGTTCTGCATGTGTACTTAGTACACAGTCACACTGTATCATCATTATCAGCTAGCCCATAATTTTTTGCGGAATAGTTACTCAATCGTCAATCGAAGTTAAGAATATGAGGTAGGTACTAACATAAAATTTTTCCAAACAATAATTGAGAATAGGAAATGACTAGGTAGTACAACAAAGTAAAATGTAGGAATTTTAATTCTGCGAATGTAACGTTACGCAATGGTTCCGAGAAGGAATTCGATGGCTTACTCTAAAGTAGGTACAGTTTCGGAAAGTTCATTCAGAAAATTAGCTCCCCTTTCCCGGTAACTGTTGTGCCACTTACCTATCGCTTTATAAAGTTTTCAAATTAGTAATGGTCGCAAAAGCTTTTAGTACCTACCTATGTCGAATTTTGGTTTCAATTTTTGTTTGTTTCGTGATACCATTTTTGGAGGTGAGAAAGTTAGATAAATTTTAGGTTTGTAGGTACCAAGATAACCTACAGAGAGGCTCTAGGAGAAACACATAGGTCTCCATAGGGAGGAGGCACCTGGAGTTGGTCTACTAAGAGGACCCGGTGCCTCCTCCAAGTGCGGATGGTGGCCACCGGGGAGGTTGTAGTGAGGTAAAACTAAAAATCCCACACGTCTTTTTCCCCAAAAAGCTAGGTGCCTTTGGAAAGTTTGCCCCCGTCAACAAAAAAAAAAAAGGTGTCAAGATTACCTACTTACTACGTCTATGGTAGATAAACAAGTGTCAAGTGTTACAACTGTTACAAGTGCGCCTGTTGATGTAGGGGTCCTGAGTTTGATTTTCGAATTGAGTAAAATGTTATAACTGTTTATCGAAACTCGATAAAAACGCGGTGTCTAGAATTTTGTGGTGTCTAGAGTTTTCTCGCTATGTTATGGCAATAAACCTATTTAATAATGATAGTCCCATTAATATGGGACCAAGTCGTAAACTCGTAACACAAGGAAATTGCGAAAAATGGATTCATCAAAAGTTATGACATCACTTAAGCAACGTTTTCATCAAAATAATAAACAGCATAAAAGACAAACTGACTGCCTCATTAGCCGAGTGGTCGCAAGTGCGACTGTCGGGCAAGGGGTCTCGGGTTCGATTCCCGGGTCGGGCAAAGTATTACTGGGTTTTTAAAAAAATCCCAGTGGTAGCACGGAGTCTGGAATAGTGCCCGGTATATGGCAATAGGAACACCCCCTATTACATGGGACTCATAACATAAGTAGTGAAAAGTGGGTGTTACATTGTATTGTGGCATTAAGTGCCATAATGTGATGTTATGTTATGTCATAAAAGACAAACTAAATCAATCCCATTATACAGTTAAGATAAAGCAAAGGAAGCAATGAAAGTAAATTCTCTCAAGTTTAAAATGAAATAGTTGTGAAAAAGCAATCTGCTTCGCAAACGGCAAGGCACTACGTTTGCCTAGGTAAATTAGTTGCTAGTTCTGTCTGTGAACAAGTTAGATTGCCTTCTTGACTCTCCACGGCTGTTTAATTTTTCTCTGAAATATACTTAGCTGTTGGATCGTGAAGTTTTTGCGTAGACATTATAAAATTGCATCTGGCTTAACAGAATTTGTGTGATGAAATGAAATGAGTTTACACAATGTTTTCATTTCCGTCTTATGACTAGTCCAGTCCAGTCCAGTTCTATTAAAAACTTTAATTAGCTACTGGTGTAGATAAATCCGTAGCTACTTTTTTATCGCATCTTAATCTTAATAACTTACAATTTGCTTTTGTATGTAATACCTACTAAAACCGGGACCGTTATAAAATGAAGTTAAAATTCTTTTCAGCAGTCTCTATACCCTATTATTTAGAACTTATTTTTATCTACTACAAACCAGAGTGATAGGTCCTTAACAATGTCTGATAGATTTTTTTTGAGTTGAGAAAATCATCCAATGTCTTCTCCCGCCTTGGTTTAGGCGAGAGGGAGTGTCAGACTCTTACTGATTAAAAACCACCCCGTTCCTACTCCTGCACTTCGAGTCGGAGCCCCGGCAACCAGTTATGTCCTCCGCGGCATGCCTGATAGTTACCATTAAACTGAAATATATTTTGTAAGGATATCACCAAAATACTCGAGTCGAAATAACCTCCAGTTCGACTAATAGCAACTTAATAGGACCTTTTACAGCAAACCCTCGAAGCAGGAGAAGTAACGGTCCAGAGCAGTGAAAGACTTAACGGGTTGCCGGAGCTCCGGCTCGAAACGTAGTAGGAACGGGGTGGTAAACAATTTAGTCACTAAGAGTCTGACACTCCATCTCGCTACACCCAAGGCTAGAGTCATTTGATAATAATTACCCTTTCAAAAAAAGTACATCAACGAAGCCTTATAATAAACCATGTCACATTTGAATTAAAACTTCAAACACTAATTGGAGCGAGGACGAGTTATTCCAAACCACAATATTTAACTAATAGAGAGTCTATCCATAGACTTATATGATCGTCGCTCGTTCGAATCCGATTCAGTTGAATTACCGCGGTGAGTTTAACTTATAGTTCGAGTGTTGGTTTAACTACAGTTTAGTGCATTTGTTAGTAAGTTAAATAGCTTTGCTATTGCATTGTGGATGCATAAGTCCATGCAGATGATAGATTAGCTTATATTAGTTCGAGGAATAATGTAATGTTTAAATGCTTTGGGTTATTTATTTATTTATTCGAATTAGTACTGACACATCACAAACATGTAACACTTAAAATACACAAAAGTATGACAATAATAGTCTGACACATGTGACAATAATGGTGGACATAGTATTGGCAATTCATCGGCTTAACAATGGCTTAGAAATGGAATACAATTTATGATTCATGATTTGGGCAATCTACACGTATAGAGAGGAAAGATTAGATTTTTCGTTTGTTTGTTTGTTTGAATGGAATCTCCTCCGAAATCCGCACCGATTTGAAAAATTCTTTTACAGTTGGAATCCTACATTAGCAATGGTGAGCATTGGCTATATTTAATATTTTATAGAAAGGTATATGTATGTACCAGAAAATTTGTTGCATTGATCTCTACATTTAAAGATGTTTTTGCTTCAGGAAATAGGTGACGTGATGGGGATTTACATAAGTATGGCAAACCATTAGGTAATTTATCGTTTCCTAGATGCGCTATGCGTTTAAAAACAACTACTTAGGTAGTTAGCAGTAGTGCAGGCACTAAAAATCAAACACCAGGCCTGCATTTTCATGTAAAACTCATAACTTGAAATCGAAACTTTGTTTATTCATGCTTCTGTTAACAAATGGACCGTAACGAAAGATGATGTCACCTGATACAAAACTTTGTGATGTTTCTTTGTTTCAGTGCTTCGATCTTGCCTGTGAATCATTGAATATCAAGTTTAGTAACCTTTAAATTGGGGAGATATAAAGGACAAACCGTCGGTGCGCCTGCCAAAACTGTTCCGTGCATTTCGTCAAGTTTTCAGGGAAGTCACTTTTTTTTTCAGTCAGTTTTTTTTTACACTTTTTCTGAAAGATTAGTGGACTTATTAACGTATTAAAATGCAGTATGGTGGCAAAAGATATTACGCATGAACTGAGAACTATTGTTCATCCCCGATATTTTTTTTTTATTTTGATGCACATATCAGATTTATCTTATAAAAATGTAAAACTTTTAAATTAAAACTGTTGAAATTCAATCTACCAAAGTATCTACGTGATGCTGCAACACCTGTAGGTATGTGCGTTTATCATCAATTTTACTAATATTATAAAGCTGAAGAGTTTGTTTGTTTGTTTGTTTGAACGCGCTAATCTCCGAAACTACTGGTTCGAATTGAATAATTCTTTTTGTGTTGGATAGTCCAGTTATCGAGGAAGGCTATAGGCTATAAAACATCACTCTACAACCAATAGGAGCTGAGCAGGGCGTGTGAAACCGCGCGGAAGTAGCTAGTCGAACATATAGCCAATTCGTCATGACCAGAAAGTATATATATTGACCAATCGATTTCTAGAGGGAATTTGTATTGTAATTTTTATAATTTGTATTGTAATCGATGCGCAATTCAATTTGAAGGACATCCTGCAAAGAAAAAAAATTGACAAGTGAATGAAAGCCGAAACTCAAAAGGGCTCAGAAGTTGTATGGTTTTACAACCATTTTCTTTGCTACCTCGAGACTGCCTCGTTAGCCGAGAGACTGCCGGGCAAGGGGTCTCGGGTTCGATTCCCGGGTCGGGCAAAGTATAACCGGGTTTTAAAAAAAATCTCAGTAGTAGCACGGAGTCTGGAATTGTGCCCGGTATATGGCAATAGGCTCACCCCCTATTACATGGGACTTGTACCGTAAATAGTGAAAAGTGGGTGTTACATTGTACAGTGGCATTAAGTGCCGTAATGTACACCTCTGCCTACCCCTTCGGGGATAAAAGGCGTGATGTTATATATGTTATGTTCTTAGCTACCCTTGTCAAAAATTATATTATAAAAACGTTATTAAAACTTAAAAACAAAGCATATAGACAAAACAGTATAAACCTCATCTTACAGCACATCTTAACTGCCTTAATGTACTCTATCGTGGAATTTATTAGCTTTGAGTGTGCAGCGATTACAAATGTAGATTGTAAGGAACAAAAACTGTTCAGAGACCCAAGAGCCGTTTAGCATAGTAATTACGTGTTTTAGATGTGCGGGGATTAATAATGTGAGTCTTATTGGGTAGGCAGAGCTGTTCTTCCTCTATGTAGAGTTATCTAACTATATGTATAGGTGACTGTCTTTTAAGTAGCGAGTTCGAGTGTGAAGCGGAAGGTTAAATTCTTGTCATAATTTTTGTTTCGACCTACGCACATTCGAGTAACGTTACTCAAATGTGTCAAATTCGTAATGTGAACGCGAAAAATTGAATAGTGTGGACTATTACACTAATTTGGACGAGACCTTTAAAGCAGGTATTATCGACAATCATATAGTTCATCCATTAAGGTCATTAAGTGTTGCCCCTGCCTCTAAATAGTAAGTAGAAGAATAGAAAGCGCTGAATATAGAGCCTTAGTTGATTTCATATAAAGTTTTCCCATACACACTATACATAATGACGAAATGAAACATGAAAGACAAACTAAAGATACTGAATTAAACATACCATATAACCATTACTTATTTATCAACCAGACCTAAAAAAAAAACTTCTATATTCGAAAGCGTTCAGCAACCAATTTCTTAGCACGAAGGAGTTGGAAGGTTCATTAAAAATGTGGCGTTATTCTGCCAACAGCTTAGCAATGGTTGGCTCAACTGAACTGGCAACTTTCTTGACTTATAGACTTAATATAAAGTCTGTGGCCGGCTTTAGACTCTTGTTAGTTATTTACAGGTGTGTTTCTACTCTGTCGAAGTTATTTTATAGAGGAAATCGCTTTGTAAAGAGTTTTCTTCTTCAAGTTAGATGTTGTGAAGAAAAGGTTTTTTATATTCTTTGCAGTTAAATAATCAGATATTGGTATGATTTAATTAATGGGTAGTCAAAAAGTTTAGAGAGAAAATTTCTTTGTTTGAGGTACGGTAACGCGGCTGTGACTCCTCTGGTGTCCATGGGCGGCTAATCGCTTACCATCAGTGATCCATCTGCTCGTTTGCTTCCTATTCCATAAAAAGAACAATTTTTATCAATCGTCTTTGAGGAGAATGCATCCAGAATATTCTGTACTTCACAATAAAGATAAGAGAAGAAGAAGAAGAAGTTTTTTTTTAAATTAATCAATGAGGTAACATTCTGAATTCATTATTTGTGGACACCGTTAGAGTTAATAGATAGATACAAAGTTCCTATCTACATAAAAAATGGAACTCAAATCAACAAACTAACAAATAACAATTTAATCCATTAAAACAAACATGCAGAGGTCCGAAACACAATTTACGGACAAAATTCTGATCCTATTTAATGTGTTAAGAACAATAAATACAATATGGGTGCCCGAGCAATCTGCTTAAAAACAGGATTTAAAGTTAAATTAACATTGGACCGGGAGTGTCGACATCGGATACACAGTTTTATCATGCGTTTTAATCTCTTAAAATAATTTAAACTCTTTAATCCTGGTTTGTGTATGTGAATTTGGTTGGTCGGCTTTGGACACTGCCTCGTTATTATTGGTGATAATTTCGATGCTGTTATAAAAATACGGGTTAATTTTTTAAATGTGTCCATTTTTGTCAATAAGGCTGCCGATTTTTGCGTTAAATTTTATTGTTATTGTGATTTTGATTTACACATTTTTGAAGTTGTTTGGACTCTTGTGTATTTGATTACACAGATGTACAATATCTTTTTAATGTGTAATTTATTTGACACAAGAGTATTAAGAATTTACTTAACTGTAATGTAATCAGGATCAACCGATACAAATACATAATTTAAAACAGATACCCTTCAAAACGTGGAAGTGTTAGGCCAAATCTGTGACCCTCAATTGTAAGTTGGTACTTACGTATGAATTGTAGGGCTCGAATTGATATGTACAATTATTGTCACTCGAATATTCCAAGAAGGCACAGAATAATCAGAAAAAAATATACCAGATTGTTAAACTGCGACTCCAAATTGCCTAAGGACCTAAGAACTTAAGATTCAAAATTGGAATTTCGCTGTCAGTCCGAAACGGTGACAACGCTCAGTATAGAATGGGTTCCACCAATTTCTAAACGTTGTATAAACCGTCCCGGTCTTCAACCAGCCTTCATTGTTGAGGAACTGGCAGAGGCTGCATGCATCGAGGACATTTGACTCCTTAATGGTGTAGTGGTTTCTCCAGTTGAAGAATTCATAGTACTTTGTCTTATTTTGAATCGCTTCGTACATCAGTTTTGCTGTGAGCTCTTCTCCTAACAGCTTTGCATCTATATAGGAGTATGGGGGTAGAAACCTGTGGAAGAAACGTTGTATCAGTGCTTTTTATTTTAAACCACGATGTTTAGTTCTGGATAATATTCACTAAAGTGGCGTTAAAATGGGTCCAGGTCCAGGTATGTATGTTTTTCAGCAAAAGATGTTTTAAAAGAAAGATCAACTCAGTTATAAAAACGAATGATTTTCGGCACGATTCTCAATTTTCATCACACCTCTTAATATTGCCGCGCGCACCTTGCATTATTAAAAGAGTTACCTGTTGTATTCAGCTCCTCCCAGCACAACAGGCACAGCAAGATTATTATAACCGAACAGGACAGTTTTGGTGATATAGTCATCTGCTATAGAATCTTCTAGAGCTAGATAGAAGTAGTAGGTAGTTCTTATTCTATAGTAGCAAGACTTCAACGAGGTCCTTCCACACTTCATGGTACCACAAGGACCAAATACATCGAGAGTAAGATTATACGTTGCTAGACATATCTTCAAATTCTTTAAAAATATTTCTCTCTTGCCAGAAGTAATACATTTGTCAAGATAAATAGCAGCGGCAGCAGATTTTGAACTTAAAGAACTTTTGAACTGCTTGGAAACTGGTACCGTTTCAAAATTGTCCCAAAGAATGTTGTTACCGAGTTCTTCATTGTGGATGTTGTAGACGCTGATAAATTTATAGGGGATGGATGAGTCACGCCTGTAAATGATAACTACGAATATATTTTAAGGCCTACAACACTTAAGCCAGAAGAGCTTCCGATTTAAGATTTAGTTAAATCAGCATTTAAAATAATTAATTAATCCTATAGTAGAATCACTCACTTGTAAGTCCAGGTCCAGTTGAAGTAATAGTCATAAACAGGACTACATACAGGATAATTGTCAGAAGAATCGTTCGCCGCAAATATATACTTCTGAACTATACTTCTCACTTCTGGTAAATCACTAGATTGTCTGCTGACGTCTTGGACATTGAAGACAATTGCATCGAAGTACCTGAGGTCCATAAAGAAGCTTCGGTTTGACGTGAAGTAACAATTTATAAGATGACAATTATGAGTTATAAAATATCGTTGCCCTTCTACTTCAACATTTGAAAGTTTTGTCCACATAAGTATATGCTTCATGTCCGGTATATATCGCTCAATCCTTTTCTCAATCTTGATGTGTTTCTGATTCTTAATAAAGTAGTTGATTAGGACCAAAATAATGACGTGGAATAAAAATTTTAAGTATTTTGTCAGTCGAGCCATGACTTGAAGTTGGATTGAAAGCAGCTGCTGCACTATTGGATGATACAGAAGCGGTCGCAGTATTGGAAAGATTCTTTGAAAAAATGCAACTTCATTGTCCCGATGTCAATACTAGCAAGCAAGTTGATATCATGACTTCTTAGTAATAAAGAGAGATCTTATTTGTTTACATTCTTACCTTTGCATTTTGCGTCAAAATAGTTTTCAGAAAACGAATAGTAGCTTGAAAAATATGTGAATAGCCAAGATGCATTGCATAACTTTCTAGGTCAACAGAATATCTTAGTTTAGTAATATACATACATACATAACTTCACGCCTGTCTCCCATGGGGGTAGGCAGAGACGATGGAACGCCAATTACTACGATTCCTACATACCTCTTTCGCTTCATCAACAGTCATCAATGTTTTCATGCATGCTCGTCGGTTAAGGGTTTTTAATTTGGGCCTTCTTTAATATATATTTCAGTAATATCTTATATTTGGGGTTACAGAAAATACATTTTTCGAAGAGCAAAGGAGCAAACAAACTACTTAAAGAAAACGATAATGTAATTAATAAAAAACCTTAAAAAATTAAATAATACAAAGTTCTAATTAAATTAACAAACAAAATACAAAAAAAATATTTATTGTATTTTGATTTCTCGTTACACGATTTGGCGCGTTCTTTTTCAAAATGGCGACAATACTTCCCGCGTTTATTGTGCACATGATGTGGGTTCGGTCGGACAGGCTTCGAGTAAAATTGTCCATGTTTTTTGAATGGCTTGTCCGATTAATGTTGTTACAAGGAAATCATTTTGATGGACGCTTTAGAAAACATTTTTTTGTGCTACAAATGTGATGTATGAATGTGTTAGGGGCGAATAAAAATCGTGCACCGGTTTACCGTTGTCAGACATTTTGTCATGAAATTGAAATACTTGTTAGAATCGTCGTTGTTATAAACGAATTCGAATGTTTAGGTTCAAGAATTCATAATGGGTGGTATTTAATACTTTAACTGTAAATTCCCTTTTTTAATCAAAATATTCGAAATTACCAACAAAAATTGCACGCTAAATTTGCTCATCAAATAAATCAATTATACTATACTGTTAGATCTTAATCTGTTTTACTGAATTACTATAAAAAGTAAATATAATAATTCCTAACCTAACCTAACCTGGCCTATTTTGGAAATTCCGTTCTAATATTGAACAATTTGTGTGCAATTCAGTATTTTTGTTTTACGATGAGTAATATGTAATTAATTTGTTGTGCAGTAATTTTTTTGATATGCAGTAGCTTATTAGTGGAGAAATTTGGTTAGCTTAAATTTCTAAATAGAGGTGCAGTAAAAAAAATTCCGATCATAATTATTTCCAAAATACATAGTTTATTATTGTATGGGTAGATATTGTTAGTTCCAAAATAGGTAACCTCAGGTTTTATCTGTATTAAGATCTATTGTTTGGTAAATGGCATAAGACTACTATGATATATTTATTTATTTTTATTTATTTATTTATTTATTTCAGGCATCACAGGCCCATATCGAATACTATAAACTGATACATTAAAGATTTATAAATACTATACATACATTACAAACAAAATAATTACTCAATTAAGTACTTAATAACTAGGTCACACGAATAGACGGCGTCGTGTGTCGCACAGTGTCCGGTAGCCGACCTCGAACCGTCGGAAGACTACCCCTCGCGGCCAAAACTCCTCTTTCATTAAGGTTGGCAGATGTTCAGTCGGCACCATGACTACAAAAGACTTGAAGTCCACTCTGTGTAGCGAGTGCAGTTGCTCAACCTTCAGATGAAGCTTTGCCTTGACCTTAATGAACTCCACAATCTCCTCAACCTTTATCCTAACCTTTATCATTCATGACAAGAAAATCATATTCGAAATTGACTCTCATCAAATTGATTTGCCAATGAACAAACATCGGCATAGATTCATCTTCCAACCAACATTTAATCTGGAATACCAATCCACAGATCTAAAAACTATTCCAAGAAATACACATACCGATATAACAGAACTGTAAATTGTGGATATATTAAACCGTTCAATAAATAGCAGTTTGCACCATCCAATATTCATATAGCATGAATACGATCCAAGCCGATATGAACACTGAACACTGAACACTGAACAGTATGTATGCCAGTTGTGTTATTTGGGATTTAATACTGAGATTCGCAGATATCACGGCAGTTGTTCAGTATTCAAAGAGAGGGGAGTGATTTTCCAATGAGCGGGCTGGTACGAATGCAAAGACGCAATGTCTTCACTGCCGCGGACTGAGAGGGTGTATTCTGGATGGTATTTTGTTTGTGTGAAATTGGATCGAGTGTTGTAGATGTTTTTTGACAAAAGTGTGACAAATAAGTGATGAAAGGGCAATTCAATTTGATTGCCTCGTTGGGCGAGTGGTTTTAGATGTCATTGCTGAGAAACGGGGAAGGTAGATATAATACGGTAGAATACCAGTTCGGGCCAAAATCGAAATGGTCGAAATACAGAGTCGGTGTATATCATGAGACTATTGAGTCTCAACTAAGATTAGAAATATATTTGGGTAAGAAATTCAAATAACTGAAAAACCTTGAATAATTCTTTGCCCGGCCCTAAAATCGAACTTGGGACCACTTGCTTGACAGTCGTATTTGCGAGTCTTTGACTAACGAATCAGTCAAGTATTTTTTGTCTATAACTTTATATATATAATTCTGCTGTACGTGTGTGTCATTGAACTCCTCCTAAACGGCTTGACCGATTTAAATTATTTTTTCTGTACGCGTTCGAGTGGCGCCCTGGATGGTTTAAATTCACAAATCAGCCTAGCAGATGGCGCTGCAGTCGATGTATTTTTTTTTTTTAAGGGGGGAAAATCATCGAATGACTGCCCCCGCCTGGGTGAGGCGGGAGGGAGTGTCAGACTCTTACTGACTAAATGAAATGAATGAAGTTTTGTTTATAAATTTAAGTGGATATGCAGGACAACGTCTGTCGGGTCCGCTAGTAAAATATAATATTTACCTACATTGGATTGTATCCCATTCCAGAATAGTCCCGCGGCAAGGTAGCGTGGTCTCGTCTGCTAATGAGATTCTTTAGGTCGCGGTTTGCATTTCAGATCAGGCTGTCTCGACGGCTCGGTCGCCTTGTTCTACTGAACTCATACTCTAGTTATGTACCGCGATGCCGTTTGTGATTTTCAAAGATTTATTTATTATTAACAGTAGCTGTTGTATAGTTTGTTTAGACAAGTTAAATGTTAAGAAGAATCTAACATTAAATTGGATTTATTGCACTGTAGGTATACTAATTTGGGCTTCGTAAGACCTTTTAGGGACTAACATGAAGCGAAGAGTTTATTAATTAAGCCTAACGTTCTAAATTTAAAAAGAGAAGTCTAGAACTACGAATTCAAATTAAAATTGGGAATATTTGAACAGTAAGTTTATAAAGAATCACCCATAAATTTAAATAATATACAAACCACAAAAGAAATAATCAAATAAGCACAAGAATTTCTTTCAAATAATATTATTTCTATCTAATGGAAAACGGATAGTTATCTGCGATCTTCCAATTCAAAGGAGGGTCCGTAAGTCCGTCTAAAGAGGACAATATTCAATTCAGAACATGAATATGTCATTTAAAATATGATTCGTGTAAAAAAGGAATAAATTTAGCGTAGAAATGTAACAATATCTTCGTGAGAGGAGTCGCATACAAAAAATCCTTTTATTGAAACTAGCTGGGCCTGTTATCCATTATGTATTAGGTACTTTGTGTCTTGTGTCCATTGTTATACGATACGAAAATCATTAGTTTTTATTCGTTCAGTTATAGCTATGATTTTAGATAATAGATAGCATACAAGCACTTGCGACTACTCGACCAAAGAGGAAAATCGAGCAAAGAGGGCTTTTAAAAAAATCCCAGCAGTGGCACGGAGTCTGGAATTAAGCCCAGAATATGGCAATAGCCTCACCTCCTATTACATGGGACTCATAATATAAATAGTGAAAAGTGAGTGTTACATTGTACAATAGCATTAAGTGCTGTATTATGCACCCCTGCCTACCCCTTCGGGGATAAAAGTCGTGATGTTATGTTAGAATAGTCCCTAATATAATCTGTCACTCAGACCATTGTTCGATGTATGAGAATAGGATCGAGTAAACTAGTATTTTTTTTATTTATCTAAACTGTCATAACACATAATTGTCATAAATTACATAAGTACGTAAACAACAAATACCTTTAACTAGGAATTTAAATCTTTTGATACGAATATTGAAAACGTTTTCACATAAAATTAATCGACAAAATCGAATAAAAGTTATGTACTTCCACACTCTAGTTTCAGTCCAATACGTGTTGAACCCAACAAACTTTGGGTAACATACGAAATGGCTTGCTTTATTAAGTTCTGACCGTCATAATGTACCCGAACCAATCTTCACACCGATCCAAGCAACACATGTTGTTAACACCTTTCGCCTTACCTACATGTACGTACCTATTGTATGTTGCCTCGTAAAAAATAAAATATAAAACATAAATATTGTTTTTTTTTTGTTATAAAAATATGGTTTTTATTCGATATTTTTGTGTAATGTGTTTATTAGACTGCAGAAAATAAATTGTAATGAACCTTATGACCTCCTTAGCCCACGTTCAAAAATCCCGTAACATCTCTTACAATGTAAATAAGCAGCAATAATGCGAACATATCTGCAACATTCAGTTTTTGCCCGTCTACCTTGTCTCCCGGGGCCCACTGTCTATGACATATGCGTAGGACTGCCTCTAAAATGGGCCCCTTGAATATATTTGCTCATCCGATATGAGATGTTGCCTTTTGTCACCATATGTGAGTTGCGGATAGTTTTTCGCACGTCATATTTGGCGGCCATTTTGATATTTGTAGCGGGAAAATTTTATTGGAATTTTTTATGTTATTTTTTTTCGACGCGTTCAAATT